TTGGATCAGTGGGAGGGGTGCTCTACTCCGTGTGACAAAGCACTTAAATACCTCTGACTACTTTAACCATTTTGAATGCCAAGTGTCATTCTGTGCTTTCCAGTCAAGACTGAAAGGGTCAGACATTCAAAAATGTGGGCTCACTTTACTAATTTCATGACAAACAGCTAAATACAAAACAGTAGTTGCATGTCAAGGAGTTGTTACACACTGGTTTTCAGCCAGCTCATAAAACACGTACAAATACAACATTGTATAAATCTGAAGTAGTGTGGCGTGTTTGCTTTAGCAAAGCCACTGCTCCACCTATGTCCTCAGAATTGTGTTTGCCTTGTCAAAGTATATTTATAGGTAGTGAAAGGTAAATCCCTATGTAAAACTAGGTGAGATAGACTGGTAGCTTAAATCAACTTATTTAAAAATTCTATTAGCACTAAACTTCAAAGCTCAAGTCAAGTCAAGGTTTATTTATATAGCGCTTTTTACAAAGCAGCTTTACAGAAAAATCGGGGTCCAAGCCCCCATGAGCAAGCCAATGGTGATGGTGGCAGGGAAAAACTCCCTAAAAGCAAGAGGAAGAAACCTTGAAAGGAAACTATCCTCCTCTGGTCGACACCGGATAGAAAACAATATTTGTATAAAATATTAAAATACAGAAATGGGGAAAAACAGGTGAAGCAATGGTTACAATTAAATAGTCTGAGTCTGTGCAGCAGCAGCAGCATCAGAAAGGTCAATTCACTCAGGTGAGGTTTGCACAGTGTTGTACAGTGAGAAGCTCCCTAGTGGTCAAACCAGTCCAGAAGGCTGGCGAGCAGTGGGCACCCGATCAAGGCAGAAGAATCAACAGCTTCAGACTGCACAGGATGGGCAGCTTCTTATTCTCCTGCTTCTTGTTTGAATTTTCCCTTTCCACCTTTTAAGGGTGCAACAGTGTATATGCGGGGTCTTCAGGCTTTATATTAACTGCTGCACCATATAAGGTGGAATGGAAAAATTCGAACAAGAAACTAGCAGATAGGAAGCCAACTTGGACAAGTCAGACAGTTTGATGGTCTAAATATTCTCATAAAAAATGTTTCCAGCATTAAAAGAATAATTACAATCATAATTAAATCATTAAATTATTAAATCAGCTTACCAGCAGGAAGTAGTAATATTAAGCTAGGTAGGTAGCCTAAGTTTGAGCTTAGTGTAAGCTGTCCTGACAACCAGGGATAACTAGTTTTGTACTGCTTATGGTTGTTAATATTTTTAACTGTAGGGAAATGATCATAACCTTTTCACATCAATTAGAGTACTGTTAAGTGTCTGTATTGATATCTGTATCAATAAAATCCTAACGATACCCATCCCTACTGAATATTATCCATAGGGGGCATCTCTACGCTCTGTGGCATCTTTACTACACTCTCACAAAAAATGGTAGTAAACTGTCACTGGGGCGGTACCTCTCTTGCCACTGGTGTAGCACCCTCAAGGGTACGTAATTGTACCGTATTCCATTGCAGTTATATTGTTTAAGTTGTCTTGACTCCACACACCCTGTCTCGTCTTTAGGCTTTTTATTTTATTGTTCTGTTTTAAAGCTTTAAGCTTTCCCTATGAAAACCTCATTCAAGTTACACAGGTAGACTATAAATTCATTGCTGGACAAGTGCAAGGGCACTTAAGCCACGTACTATCAGCTCAGGGGATCAAACCGGCAACCTTCTGGTCACAAGGCTGGTTCCCTAACCTCCAGCCCACGACTGGCCCCAGTGACAGTGATGTAATGTCATATTGTTGGGCATATGTCTAAGCTAATAGGTAATACTCCACTAATGTACAGAGATAAGCTTTAAATTTAAATCTTTACTGAAGGACTCACTATCCAAAGTAAATAGTTTTACCTAAACGTCTTTTATGAGCTTCAAATGTCTGTGCCTAATCTAGAGGGTTGCTATATATAAACATTTACCACTGATAACTTAATTACAACGAATTGTTAATGAATTACAATGTTTTTAAACTAAGCATTGCTGTGTAATGATGTGATTAGCTTGCATATGCTCATAATTTTGTGACTGTGTATGGTCTTTAGCAAGCTTAAAAAGTCGAACATGTATGGTCTGTCTTGTTGTGCTCTACAGCAGCCATAGTTTTGCTCTCCACTATCGCAGAAGGGCCATACGTTTATCTGCCCCCTCTACTGAGACAACAAGAACAGTGGTCATTAATGTGTAAAATCCTGGTTGATAAAAACGAGACTTGGCTTCCTTCTTACCAGCTACTTTTTCAAATTTTCCAGTCCATTTTAAACAGTGCAGCAGTTACATCACACGTGTCAGGATCCAGTCCTGACAGGCCAAAACACTGCAGAATTCAGCACACTTCAACACCTGCAAGGCCTTCATAAACTAAATGCTAGATCAGGTTAAACACTTATCCTTGCAGCACTTTGTGTACATTTTTGGTAACAGATAAAATGGAATACAGCAATATTTCTAAATCTTAAGCCCAATCCCCTTTCACCCCTCTCCTCTACCACTCAGTCCTACCCCTCTGTTTCTTTCTTTGTTGAAATAGAGGGGTAGGGTGAAGTGTTAGGGCTACAAGTTATTCAGCGGCACACTCCAAACAGAGTGTTATGAGGGGGAAAAAAACGGCAAGATGGCTGCACAAGCGAACAAAGAAACCCACAATTGTTAGTATTTTCTGTGTTAAAAAATTCCAGTAACCACTGTTTTATCTTAATTTAATGTTGTTTCAATGTATTATGGTCCTTGTCTTCATAACAGGCATAAAAAATCACTAATAGTATGCTGATGTCTCTGTAGCAAGCTAGCTAAATTTCCTGTTCAAACTTAAATTTTAGGTGGAACGAGAAAATTCTAACAAGAAGCTGGCAAATAGCTGACTTCAGCTTCATATTACCGAAGAATTAGGGGTGAGCAATAATAAATATTTGCCCCTTTGAAGGCATATGTAACTGTAACTAAATATAAACTTATGTAACTAAAGCCCAGTAACAAGGTTGCTGAACTTTAACCTCCTCTGCTTTCACTGCAGACTGGAAGGGTCGCCTATAGAGCCCCACCAGTAGCCTGTTAATGAAGTAATGTTCTTTTTTTATTTGAGGTTTGTCCCATTTTATAGGGAAGATTTTAACCCCTACCCCTCGTAACTCCAAGGGGCATGATGACACTCGAAAACAAGGGGTAGGGGTTAAAAATAAGAAATGGGATTAGGCCTTACTGTGTATGTTAGAAGATGGACCTTAATGCTGGATTAATCTTTAGTCTGTAGCCTATGGCCGGCTAACGCCGACAGTAATTTTGACCCATGACCACTTACTAAATCAGAAAAATTTGCAATACGTTTGACTAAATATTGTTGAAGGACCATGTATAAAAACCTAGTAACTGTCACAAGTGGATATATTGCTCTGTTTCACTCCATCTTCTAATGTAAGATTGGCCGAAGTGGTCCAGATAAAATCTTTTTCGTTGCGCATGCTGTTGGTCCTGCTCTGACGTGATGATTGACAGGTTGGGAAGAAATGAAAGAAATAAAAATGCAGTCTGGTCAATGCATTTTCAAAGGCAATTTGACACCGAATGAGCACAGTAGGTGACAATATGTAATTGTGAAGAGAGCTGCTGTTTCCTTTTTACATTTGAATTTTAATATTTCTTTCTAGCTTGGTGTTCACTTTGATAATGCAATTTCAAAAACATTGTTAGAGAGTGCAAATGCAAATAAATTACATTTTAATCATTATTTTTGACACCATTATTGCATAATCACATGAGGCATGAATATGAAGTTCTGGAACTTAAAGCTGTTTATAAAGCATCTAAATGTCTGTGTAAATGAAATTCATTACTAGTGCACCAAATGGCAAATGTTAAATGGAATTATTGAATTTGAATTTTCATTTTGTGCCCAAACTTGCATTGAGTGGAAACTTTACATTCAAACTTGGGACTATGTAGCCTTTTTGCATATTACATTTTCGCTGTCATTTTGATACTGATATGCTTTCTTACACTTTCTCAAAACTACTGCAAAATCAAAAAAGTCTATTTGCTCTAATAATGCAAGCTATGTTCTGATATCTGAAGGCTAACCAAATTGTAATAGAAACAAAAACTGTCACAATGGAGGATGAAGTATTAATAAAGTATCAATGAAATAAAAACAACTTATCTGTGTAAGAGAAAATGCCCCTGAATACTCAAGTACAGTAACTTAATTATTTAACTTGTCATCATGGAAATTGCAGTTACATTTAAATGGGAAAACAGGGACTTTGTTATTGACCAGGGCTGATGCGCATCTTTACCACAGCCAGAATTAATTAACTCGGTGTTACCCAGTCTTTTCAATCCATATTCAAGTCCTTTATGCTACAACCTATAGTTCATTATATGCTAAATGTAGCATCCTCAACCTACAGGGAAAAATAAGGTTTTTTACATATGGTAGACAATATATGACACTGTTATGTAACAAAATATTCATGTGCTGTTATTAATAGGATACCTCACCTGTCAAACGATTTCCTTGTGACTGGAGAATAAGTTACTACTTCAATAATAACAAAAAAAATGAATTTTTGTTTTTTTATTTGCAAAAAGTGCCAAGCTTACTGAAAAAAATAAATATAAGATGTGTAAGAAACTATGCTTTTCTAAGATTAGCATGAATGTACAGAATAGGGGCACCTATCTTAAGCTGTTGAATCCATAGGTTTTTGTTTCTCTTAAAAAAAAACAGTTCTTTATTGGCAGATTAGGTTGAACGAGGTAGAACGTAACAGTCTTTTTCTGGGTATGTGGACTGAAGCACAAAAAACATTTCCACGATGTTAGCTTGCACAGTGGTCTTTTTAAACAATTTTAAGACTTGGCTTTGCTCTGTGTGCTAAAATGCACTGAATGGTATGCAGTATGCAGTTTTGTGTACAGTATGCTATTCGATTGTATTAGTGTTCATATTTTCCCTCTTTCCATCAGCTCAGCAGCATCAGTAAAGCTATTAACTCCACTGAGACACCAGTAAAGGAGAAGCATGCCCGCAGTATCCTTCAGATGCGTCTTCACCCTGAATTCTTGTTCTCATTTAATAAAGCACTATACTTATTTATCAGTGTACTGACTTATGTAAATTGATAAAGGTAACTTGAAACTGACATTTCATTTTTATATCTATTATGTTATGTTCTATGGTCCTTGACTCTGAGTTCAGGAATTATCTTGGGAACCCACCGGGAAAAGGGGGCGTACACTTTCTGGTCTTATGCTATTGGTCTACCTTTGTCCAGTAGTGCTATTCTTAGTTGGAAGTTTTGCCACGTTTTGCATAAAGTTCTCCGTGATGGTCACCCAAATGTAAGTGTTTTCTGCATTTGTCATTTTTCTATAACATTAATTAATCCATTACATTTTCTATGACATGAATTGATGCATGTTTCTTTTTATGTATTTTTTCAATCCACTACATTTTACAATATTCAGTATTTCTTTAAAATTTGTTACATCATAATTAACTGTGTTTTATCTCACTCTGCTAACTTACTTTTAAGATATAATGAGTCACTGGTTATAGATATCTTTGTAAATCTTATATATGTGTGTATGATCTAGCTGTAATTACTAGTAGATTTCATAGATTATTAATGAACAGTATGGAAAGTATCAGCAGTGTCTGACAGCTCCTAATATCGTTCAAAGATGATTAATTTCTTTTTTTTATCAGAATGTTAATTTTGAGATCATAAATCTTAGAAAGGGATGCTTTATTTTGATATAAAACAGTAATTTAAAGAAGTACTTCACTAGTATGGCTAAATTTATGCGTATTAACTTGGGCATGAATGGGAAGTTTATAATTTAACTCTATTGAAATTCATCAAATCAAAGCTAAACATCTGTATCAGAGCGCTAACTTTAATAAATGTGAGACAGTCTTTCTTGCTTAACTAGTATTCTGGATTTGCTGAATCCTCTGTTCTTCATAATGAGGCTTTGGCAATAGATCCTAAATCTTCTTTAGTGCTGAATAAGTGCCCTTTTCTGTGAGTTTTTGTTGAACAGAGAGAACATGGTATTCTGATAATAGCATCCAAAGGTTTCCTGAGCAGCTATATTGACTCTTAATTACTTCAACAGAGCTTGCAAGACTGCATGAGATATTACAGTAACATTGCTGAGACAGGAATACTATGGGTAAGTTAAAGAATGCCACAAGGGTTATTACCTAAATTATTGTTTAAAACATGTTTCCTCTTTTCTTATTAAGTGACATATTAATGTCCTTTTAGTGATTATTCAGTATTGTCTCTAGGGAAACCTCAGGGATAGATATGGATATGGCCAACTTGTTGCACTGTATACCAAGCTCCTCTGCTCCAAGATGGAATTTCATACCAAGGTGAGAGCTGTAGATGTAGATTTGGATTCCTTGGTGCCAGTTTGAAGAATACATTTTTGTAGAAATATTTGCATAGTATAAATTCTAAAGGGTTTTATTTTTCAAACTTGCCATCTACAGTATTCGTAGGCCTAGAGCATCTTTGTTTTGAACCCCACTTTGTAATATTTGAATACAATCAAGAGAAAATGCTGGTTGGTTTTTAAAGCCAACTTGAAATGACATTTTGAGGCAAAACTTCAGAAAGTCTTGTCTATGAAACATTTACAAAGAGTAGGCTCTGTGGGGGTAACGATAGGAACAAAGAGAGACTCCAAGAGAACAGTAAAATTCCTCTTCTGTTGTCTTTTTGTAGCATCCAGATATCCCACCCAACCTGGAAGCCACAGATGAAGTCCTGGAGCGCACCGCAGGAACAGATATCAACAATGTGTATGTCATACCTCATTTTACTGTTATGCCCTATGTTGTCATACATAAATCTTGTGGGCAAACACAAACACCTTTGTAAAGATGTATTGGTCACAAAATTGTAACATACGTTGAACACCGACAGAAGTTTTTCCCTTCTGTATTCCCTAGTCAGAGCTCAGTGTTTTTTTTGTCTGTTTGTTTGTTTGTTTTCTGTTTGTGTGTGTGTGTGTTTTTTGTTATATAGGCTAAGTGAAGTGCCAGTTATAGCATTATAGGCTGTTGATGACATTCATGATTTGTTTTTCTCACACTTTCACAGAAAAAAATATTAAAGATGGTCAGGTTATCATTCAAATAAATCTGTGTGCAAGTGACCATGCGGTTAGTGATTCAGGACTGATATAACCGATGTCTGATGTAACTCAGTGATTCTTGCAGCTTCATTGTATAAAAGCATTCCATTTGATCAATGACAGGTAATCACAGGATTGTGAAAAACTCACTAATCAGCTTAGTTATTTGAGCCTGCTTTCATCCCTCTGGATGTTTTTGAAATTATAAACATTACTGTGTTAATATTTGGTTTAAAAAAATTAAAATTTGAAATTTTGCCTTAAAATGCAGTCAAATTAGTCAAACTCTGTGGATTTATTTGCAAGTCAGAAGAAAAAAACTTTTTTTTTCAGCTTTGTTGTAAATCTTTGTCCTTGTCAAAAGAAAAGAGTCGGGAGGTCACAGGATACTGGAGCATTGTTTAATTGTAGAGTTCTCAAGTCCCAGCCTAGCTTGGCCAAAATGTGACAATTCTGAACAGCAGGTTTTGTGCAATGCAGTTATTAATGATTAAACATTATTGTAGTAAGTAAGGAGACACAGGAGTAAATACTTCTGTTAATAACTGTTTTGAATACAGAGCTAGACCAGAGTCAGTATTTGCCTTGATTAGTCATGTGGACTAAGACTAAAGGAAACAGATACTTACCATTGGCACTCAGACGAGTCTTATGAGTGGTGAGTGAGCCTTAAAAAATAAAAAGGAAATGTTCTATAACTTCATTTTGCAATGACTTACCCATGAATTACTAGCAGATAAAAACAGAACTGTGAAGCATTACACAAATAAACCATGTTCTCATCACTGATTGTCAGTTTTTTAATGCACAAGTTTTACATGCCAAGGGATAGCTGCATACCTTGAGCTGTATGAAGCAATTAAATATGCAGAGCTCTGTTTTTGAAGTTTCATACATTGAGCTCTGCTTACACCAATGATATTTTCAGAGGTTTTGATGGTATAAATATCCTTTCACACACAAAAAACCCCCAACAAAACAACAACAAAGAAACAAACAAAAAAAACTATTTTTCACATACTTTCATTCTCCCTATTTATGGTCAATTGGAGCCACTGACAGACAAAATCAGGACTGTGAAAATTTGAAATCACAAATCAGCCTGGTCAATTTGAAGGTTATTCGTTTTAGAAAATAAAGCTCTGAAGCCTATTATTTCGGAGTGGAGAATGAAATCTGAATTCACAAATCAGTACCAGCAAGGTTTAGGTTATTGCAGCACTAAGTAATAGTTGAAAGAATCACTAACAAACAGAGTGTCTACAAAGGAAGAATGATGTTCGTGTGAGTGTGTGTGCATACATGTCAAAGTCAAAGTTTATATATAGCGCTTTTTACAACAGGCATTATTGCAAAGCAACTTTACCGAAAAATCAGGTTCCAAGCTCCCATGAACAAGCCCATGGCGACTGTGGCAAAGAAAAATTCCCTAAGAGCAAAAGAAAGAAACTTTGAGAGGGACTAACACTGAAAAGGGGAACCCATGCAAGAGCCCTACTCCCTCTTGATAAAACAGAATATGGAAAAAAATGGTGTAGAGTGGAACCTTTAAACAGGATTTTTGGATTTTCAGAGAACGTAGACTTTTAAATGTCAGAACTTGGTTTCTGATTGAGATCATAAAATGTGGTATGTTTGATTTTTAAGGAAATTCAAAAATCCAAACTTTACCAAGTGAAGGTTTTCTGCAGGACAGCACACATGTAATTAAGAGTGCAAGCAGAGAAAACAGCCTAGCTATGATAGCTTAAACAATAAGCAGAACAGGCTCCCTAAGATATTAGCATCCCTCTGCTCCACTGTCAACAAACCGGAGTGAGTGCATGAGAGCAACAAGATGATGGCACCGATCTCGGCTCGCCCTAATTCATGGACCCCTGAATTGGCACCTTTTACATAACAAGTAAACATACTTACCAAAGCCTTGACTAAACAAGACAGCTTTCAGTCTAGACTTAAAAATTGAGACTGTTTGTGAGTCCTGAATGCTGACTGAAAGGTTATTCAAGGTTTCTGAGAGACATAGAGCAGTTAAAAGCCTTATGAGTAATAATTTATTTTACACTGACTGCATAAGATGTGAGGGATTTCATATTCAGCACTCCTAGTTTTAAATCAAAGGTGCCCTGTTTTCAAATTGGCTAAGCTAGTTTCATATTAATTATGTAACTAGAACAGACCTTACAATGTTTTATGAAAGTGGTAAACCAATGGGAAACATGCACTGGTTTACATTGTTGACCCCCTGGCCTTTGTTATGTCTCATGGACATGGATTCTGAGCTTCATTCACCCCTAGCTTGCTTTTGCACTGAACTTGTCTGTTGACATTACATTACATAGGCATTTTTTCTCCAGAAAACTCCATGAAGTGCCTTCTTTGGTATTTGCCTTCAGATTGAATTTCAAGAAAAATACTCAAATTGTTTGATTTACAACTAGAAAATTGTGTCCCAATTTAATTGGGCCATGTTGTTGCTCACAGTGTAGAATGAGTTCTATTTCTTGTTTTATTTTTATTTTCTAGGCTTAAAGGTCTGCTCATTTGAAATTTAATTTAAGATGTCATGAATTAAGGAAAAATATTTCGCAAACGTTAATATTGATTGTTAAAATGCAATAATGTCTGAGATCTTTGCTTTTCGGCTCCACTGACATTTGTTGTGCTATCTGTGCTTTGGGTTTGATCATCTCGGTTGCACTCAAAAAGCTTCTATTCATACACCCTTTAGACAATCCCAGACCTTGCCCAACCAGTTACACTTGTTCCCCAGTAGTCATGTGATAAGGTCATTTTTACAGTGTTTTTTTTCCTATTGTTAATTTTTGATGTTGAATGGGGCACAAACAATATTGGGCACATTTGATAATGAATCTAATTACAACAGAAGACACCGACAAAATGTTAATTCAAAGTGTGACATAGCTGCTTTTGTCTTGTTTCTTGGTACTCAGGTTCCAGCTCACTGTTGAGGTGTTTGATTACATGGATGTAGAGCTTCGGCTTGCAGAGTCAGGTAAGTGTCTTTGCACCATTGTTTTAAGGATCAGTCTCCTTGAAAACATGGTAAACAGGAAGTTCATGTACAGCACTGTACATTCCAGACTTGTGATGTTTCTACATTTCATAATATACCAGCCAGATCCTGTTTTAGGCCATCTTCTGTTAGTCTAACTGATTATACTTCTGATGATATTTCTGTAGAAATTTGTGGTGATTATTTATTGTTAAAATTTGTACATTGTTTTATATTAGTATTCTATTTGTCTATCATGGCCTTGTGTCAATAGATGGTGATTTTTAATAAAGCATGACCTGCACAAATGGGTTAACAATCACAAAGTTATCTTCCTTGCAAAACGTACAGCAGTTTACCAGTTTATCTGCACATGGTCTTCAGACACAATCAGTGTTTTGACTTTCTACCCACTATTCACCTGCCTATGATAAACAGTCTGGTTCTGGAAGCAAAAATCTCATTCCTAATAGTCACAGAGAATTTGATGTTTAGCCATCATATTTTAACTGGCCAGGGTAGACTTACCTAAACTAATGAGATTGGCAAGTGATGGTTCTCTCCTGTTGAAACCATAAGTCAGTGAGATTTTAACTTTTATTTCCAAAATTGCTTTAAACAATTGCTTTTATTTAATAACCCATAATCCTAAAGTGAGTTGCTCTGATCAGTTGTGTTGTTTGGCACGAGGAAAGCATGACAGCGTCTCCATTGGCTAGTGGCATACTGTACAATGGTTACATTGTTGGATATGATTTTTTTTTTTTAAGGATGAGGAGAAGAGTGCTCTGAAGGGGTGAAAATCACTATGTCAGACCGTGTAGTGTTTGTTCTGTCAGTGTAGCTTGTTTGTTCTGTCAGGGCCATTATGAAAGACAGGACGTATAGGGTGCTGGGTTTTTGCAGTCAAACGTGGTGGTTAAGAACAGCTAAAACTGCTCACAGACAGACTTGAGTAGTAAAGGGCATCATAAAATGGGATGAGTACTAACAAAAAAAAAAACCCACATTTTTCAAGTATCCAGTGCAATTTTCTGTTTTGCCTTGTTTAAAGATGTTTTCATTAAATTTAAATAATAATTTAAAAAACATTTATTTTTATTTAATAATAAAAACGAACAAATAAAAAAAAATAGAAAGTACTTTAGTATAGTAATCAATGTCATAACTAGAGGGGGGCCCTGGTGGCAGTTGCACTGGGGCCTATGGGACTCTCACTGGGGCCAAAGGGGGACCCGCCCTGATCTGCCCTTAGTTCCTTTCTTTCTTTCTTCTTCTTCTTCTTCTTATTATTATTATTATTATTATTTATTTTATGTTAGTTCCCCCCAGATTCAGACAGCCCGTTGGGGGTACCAGGAGATTGTCTGGCCAGTAGCCTGACCTGTCGGTTGGAATGTCCAGACCAGTAGCACATAAGACTAAACTAGAGCACACTGCAGCCACAATCATCAATATGTGAACTAATCCTCCCCTGGCAGTCTGCCCCTGATATCTTACATGATTGGGCTTTCTAAATCAGGGTGTAAGCGTGATAAATGGTATTGGATCAGACGTGTTACAACTAGTTGACTTGCTAGCTTAGTTGGTTAACTAGCCCACAGCATTGCAGTTTGTGTTCACAACTTTGCAAAATTGAAAAAAGATGAGAGAACAGTGCAGCTGAGAGGAGAAGGGAGAGTGTGCTCAGAATAACTAATGTTAATTCAGCAAAAGAGCAACGTCTTTAGCATCCTCTGCTCACCTGATAACCTAGCAAGCTGCTACTGCTGTCACATTAGGCTGTTAGAAGTAATTGATTTTCACTTAACCGATTTCATTAATGACTGCATGTATTGTTACAGTCTTCAATCTTGTGGAACCTTTTCCTTACATTTGTAGTATCTCATCAACTCATTTGCGATATAACAACCAATAGACAGGCAAATTGCTCCATTTCCAAAAAAGTTGGGATGGTGTGCAAAATGTAAATAAAAGCAAATCATTTAAACCCTGTATTTTATTGAAAATAGTACAAAGACAACAAATCAAATGTTGAAACTGAGAAATATTATTGTTTTTTTTTTTGTTTGTTTTTTTGAAATATATGCCCATTTGAATTTGATGCCAACAACACATTCCAATAAAGTTGGGATGGGGGCATGTTTACCACTGTGTTTTATCACCTCTTCTTTTAACAACGCTCTGTAAGCATTTGGGAACTGAGGAGACCGACTTCTGTTGTTTTGATAGACTCTGAAAGACTTTCCCTGAAAAAGATGTCGTTTGGATAGCAGCAAATGTTGCCATAACATGTACATATCATTCAGCATTAATGATGCCTTCACAGATGTGCAAGTCACCCATGCCATGTGCACTAATACACCCCTATACAATCATGAATCATACTGGCTTTTGAACTGTGCGCTGATAACAAGCTGAGTGGCCTTCATCCCGGAGGACACAGCGTCCATGATTTCCAAAAAGAATTTCAAATGTTGATTCGTCGAACCACAGGGCACTTTTCCACTTTGCCTCAGTCCATTTTAAATGAGCTCAGAACCAGAGAAGGCAGCAGCGTTTCTGAGTTCTGTTTGTATATGGTTTCTTCTTTGCCTCTCTGGGATGCTCATTTTATTGCCAACTAACCACCAGGTGTTTTTTTTAAGCATTACACAACTTTACCAGCCTTTTGTTGCCCCTGTAACAACTTTTTTGGAACATGTTGCTGGAATCAAATTCAAAATGGGCATATATTTTTCAAAAAACAATAAAATTTGATATGTTGTCTTTGAAGCATTTTCGATGAAACATAGGGTTTAAGTGATTTGCTCGTTACTGCATTTTGTTTTTATTTACATTTTTCACAGCGTCCCAACTTTTTTGGAAATGGGATTGTATATTGAAAGTAACTTTTGTGTGGTTGGGGTACCCATTCATTGTTTTTGCACTGGGGCCTGTAAGATCCTAGTTTCTCCACTGATGGGTAATCCTTTGAATTGTGTTACAGATTACACAGATTACATAATTTTTTTGGAGGTAATCAGAGGCAAGATTCACTAAAGCTGTCCTAAGAAAAAACTTACAAAGAATCTTTAGACTAACACTAAATTCAACAGAATATTCTTGAATGCAATTCTTGGAAAAAAAATGTTCTCAAATGTTCTCAACATTGTAATTATTTTTTTAACAGAATTTTAATTGTTTTTGTATATTATGGGTAGAGTATCAGTATCATTTTATATTTTACAGATGTGCCAGAAATTACACATTTTTCATCTTAACTGGTTGTTCTGTTTAATCACATCAGGAGGTAAAACAAAATCAAACTAAGTGTTCAAAAAATGTATAAATAAGAAGAAACAAGAACTCTAGTCATGTTCTTGTTGATGGTGTAGAAAATAGCCAACAGAAAAAAAAATCTTTTTTTCTTTTTTGTTTTGTTTTGTTCTTTTCTTTCTTTTTTGTTTATTGCAATTATATTTTGTAAAACTCACATAGAGGTTTACCTTGTTTGTTCTTGCAGTCTAAGACAAATGTGAGTTTTCTTCCTTCACTTTTGTGAATCTGGCCCCTGTACTGACATACACTTTTAATGCACACTATTAAAGATAAAGATGCTAGATAGTGATGCACAACTCATGGTCTTCCGGAATGTAAAGAAAAGAATGGAAGTAAAGTTTTACTGTCGGAGCAGTTAGGCGTTATCTTATTTGTCTTTTCACAAGGCAGAAGTAGGCTTATTCACCAGTTTCTTATTCACATTTTTCATTCTACCATGAAACAATGACTTTAAATTATGTACAGCGGAAGAATATAACTGCAGCACTAATCTTGTGCGAAGTATTATATGCTGCTGTTTTTTGTTTTTGTTCCTTGTACCATTTGCTTGTTTTTTGCAACCCTAATTATGTTTTTGTCAGCAACTGGTGAGCAGTGTTGGCATATCATGGTAAACAGCCTTACGCTATTTAAACTCAACACACACTACTGTGGAATTTCATTCCTTCTTCAATAATGTTAAGTACCTTTGCCTTTTTGTCTGTTTTTCAAAACTTTTTATTTGGTATGAATCTTATTGGTAAAATTTTGTACAGTGTTTGACCAATAAATGCTAGAAACTTTTTTTGTTAATGCCTTTAAACAGTGTGTTTCTATTGAACATCATAATGTGCGTTAAGTAGTCTGCCTAATTTTGAGTTCCTGTTATCAGGATAGAGTAAAAAGGAAAGGGCAACTTCCTTCTCTCTGATCTCTTTGTGAGCTCATCCTGTCCAGCCATAAACAACCCCAAAAATGTAAACACTGTGTAAATAAGATCAGACATATTTTTTATTGCCTGGGAATTGGCAGCTTTAATGGATAATGTACTGTGCCTCGCTCACAAGTTAATATACATAGGATATTAGGACACACACAGTTTTTTGAGAACAGGATTAACTCAGTTGAGTCCCATATTCAGTCAGTACAAGTACACTAAGTAACGTTGTACTAATTTGTGATTTAATGGTCTGTTGTAGAATTTATTCTTTCTGTATTTCTGCATTTGATAGTATTGGTAAAAAGGTACTTTGCTATGAACAATGTAAGTACATGCCTTATCATTTTCTGTTTTTTCACAGTCCTACGACAGCTCAATACCTCCATTGCCATCTCAACCTTGACAGCAGGCCAGTGCAAACTAGCTCCGCTAATCCAGGTCATCCAGGACTGCAGTCACTTGTATCATTATTCCGTCAAACTCCTCTTCAAGTTACATGCTTGTGAGTGTCTTTGTACCACTGCAGTGCTAAAAATGTATGCACATAATTTAAAGAATGTAACACAAATATGTATGTTGTATGCAAAAGTTTGCATGTCCCTAGTCATATTACTTGTTTTGTTGATTTTCTAAGTGAAAATAAGGAGTAACGTAGAGTGAGGACCACACACTTAATGTGCTGTACTTAGTCTCACTTACTGACAGCTTTTGACCTTTGATGTACAGTACTGGATGATCCTCCTCCTCCTCCACCACCTGGGACAAAACAGCCCCCAGCCCGCTGTCTGATGCGTTAGTCTGCAAAACAAAAGGAAAGAAAAGTCAGGAGAATGCAGCCCCCACAGAGAACTGCTTTAACCCAGATAAAAGCCTGTTGGCACTGCTCTGTCTACTGGACTGGTTCTGGTGCTCCCTTTTTAGTGAGACCAGTCAGCAGGCTGGTGACATCCAAACAGTCAAGTACAAACCTATGATATAAGCCGGCCAGCTCCAGGAACTGTCTCACGTCCTTTTTGGCCTTCTTTGTCACAGTTGCTGCATTCTTATCAATTTGGAGATGCACCTGTCTGTGATCCATGTGGAAGCCCAGATATTGTTCCTCCACACATCCAATTGCACCCTTCTTTGAGCTTGCTGTGAGTCCAAGGGGATCTGCCTTGGTTAAATCCACTGTTGAGTAAAGAAACAAGCAATACTTAATCGATCAAGCAGCTCATCAGTACATGGCATTAGGTAGGCATCAAATTTAGACACCGCGATGACTTTTCTGTAGTCCACATAGAACTGAACAGTCCTGTTGGGCTTGGGGACAAACACTTCTGGCCTGCACCAGTCACTGTGAGACTCCTCAGGTACACCCATGTCGAGTATAGCCTTGATTTCATTCCAAACCATTTTTTTTTTTTTTTATGTTCAGGTAAGCGATAAGGCTGGCTGCCTACAACCATGCCAGGAGTCCTCCCTCCGCCATGGTTTTAGAAGGCTAAGGTGATAGCTCTAAAGCGCTCTGCCTCATTCTGACCGTCTTGCCTTATTTTTGACACTCGCTGTGTGACCTCGAAGGGTCATTGCAACTTGGTGCGTAATTTAGAGCTTGACATGGGAGTAAAACGAGCGCTTTGTCTCCTGGTGTAATCCCACATAGCGGAGTGCCCCTTTTGTAGGTGCGGCTTTGATGTTTTGGAGCTTGGAGCAAATTCCCTTGAGTTAAGTGCCCTAGTGTGTGGAGTTTTGCTCACATGTCAAGGACATACTGAATTTAATTTTTGCTGTTCGAAGGTCCCTCCTCCCAGTACTCTCTGATGGCATATAGGGTGCCGTGGGGCCACCTCCCATATAATAATTTGAAAAGGGAGAACACCATGGAGGTTTGCGGCACCTCTTCCACTGCAGACAACAGGGGTTCTAGCCATTTATCACAGTTTTAGTGTCCTTGTGAACAAACATCCGAATCATATTTTTGAGGATCTGATTAAACCGCTCAACCAGTCTATCCATTTGGGGGTGGTAAACACTAGTGCGAATTGATGTAATGCCCAACACTTTGGGTAAATTGTGTGACATGAAAGTAGCGCCCTGATTAGTCAGGATCACTTTCAGGATCCCAACTTGAGAGATCACTCGGGAGAGTGCGTGCGCCACACTACATGCTCATATGTTGCCAAGAGGCACCACCTCTGGGTATTGTGTTACATAATCCACTAGGACCAATGCAAAGCGGTACCCTTTCTAATGGTCTGATGAGGTCCATACCAATTCATACCAGGGCACCTTGATTAAAGGAAGCGGACACAATGACACTTTTGGGATTGCCAGGGGGTTTACGTGCTGACATTCATGGCATGACGCACACCACCTGCATACATCTTTGTGAATGCTCGGCCAGTGAAAACAGATCATTAGATGGTTTAGTGTCTTTTCCTCCCCCAGGTACCCTGCCATGGGATAATTATGAGCTGCATGTAAAAGCATTTCCCTGTGGCTTTTTAGAATGAACAACTGTGTTATCACTTCTGCCGTTTGAGTGACCCGTGCCACTCTATATAGTTGGTCTTTCAAAATAACAGAAATGGGGATAAGATGGGGTATTCCCTGCTCGAGTAACTGACCATCAGTTACTTTCACCTGCTCACAGGCATGCTTCAGAATCCCTAAGGGGAGTCACAGGGACGAAGTCCTGGCGGGTGGCTTTCCTTTCCTTTGCTGGCCGAGGAGCTGTCTCTTGACCGCCCTCTGGAACAGCCCCAGACGAACGGCTTCCCCCGCTAGCAGAGGGAGTAAACGGACCACCCAGTCCTTCTTTGGCCACCCCCGGTCCTCCACCACTCTTTCACTAAGCTCCGCAAATGCCTCTGAGTCTAGAGCCGCACATATCCAACACCATTTCTTTCATTCATTTGCAGGACCCATCCTCTAATAGTTCTCTCAGTAACCCCTCAAACTAGGCCAATTAGTAAGAATCTCTTTTAGTGAGGACCAAAATCAGAGAATTAGAAAGGTGAGGACTAACTGCCACCTTAACGCTATGCTTTTTACTCCTAAAATAAGTAGTGATTGGAACAAGTGGATAATCTTGAATGTCCCCACGAACACACCATACCTTTACCCAATAAGCCTTCTCTGATGCAACGTCTTGAATCAAACATTGGTGGATTGTGGTTTGATTACAGCCAGAATAAACCAAGGTTATAGAGGACTCAAGTGTGAGGAAGGGGTTTGTAGCTCCTTTTTTGAGAGAGAGAGAGAGTTCTCTTTGCATATCAAGCAGAGTTTGATGTTGGGTCTGCTGCAGGAAATAGAGGGCTTTGATAATTTCCCCAAGTGGACTCCATGGTGGCATTTGTTCTGCACTTCCCTGGTTTCGGCACCACTGTGGTAACCCTTTGATCTGCTGGGAGGACATAGAACACGGAGCAGGATGTGGAGACACTGAGCTTTCTATTTGTTACACAACACCAATACCTAAGCTTTTCAGCTTGTACAACAAAATAAGAATTGCTTTGCTTGAGACTTTTTAGCCTTAGTTCTGCTCAGCTTGCTCTGTGTCTCACTTGGTCTCCTTCTCTCTCTGGTCTCCGGCAGCCTACTGGGAAAAAAAAAACATGACTATAAATAGGCTGACAGAAACAACACACAAGTGAATACCATCCACTACTCAGCCAGCTGATTTACCTTGACTGGCTTTGTCCTGCATGTGACACTCTGCCTTGCCCCCACCTCCACAGTCCTCTACAGAGATTGTACTTATGCACATTGTAATGCATAATTGCTGTTTATTTGCTGAATTTAACATAGTGGAAATAATAAAACAAAAAGGTATGACACATTTCATATTTTGTTAAAAAGCGAATAAATAGAAATTGTGCATTAAAATGTTTAGAAACATGTTATCTAAGTTTGTTCTCTGGAGTGCTAACTTGTTCTCACTTAGAAAATAAAAAACTTGTAATGTAACCATAATTCATATCGTAAGCTTGTGCATGCAACTGTGTAAGTATATGACCTGTCCAAAATCTGTATCCCCTGCCCAAATTACATCATCTCGATTTCTCTGGTAAAAAAAAAAAAAGTAAAACAACATCTGCAGAAAAAAAAGCTAATAAAACTTTTGGTCCACCTTGGTGTATAGTAACTCATGTCTTGCTGCACAGTTTGTTAGTCATTCTTTATCCTTTGTCCTTCATCAGTGGTCACAGGACGCTGCCCATAAGATACTGTTGGTTGGATATTTCTGATTGGTGGATTATTCTCAGTCCAGCAGTAAAACTAAGGTGTTTAAAAACTCTATGTCTAATCCAATTGTACCAGCGCAGTGCGCAATAAATGCCACCATCATGTCACTGCTGTGCTGAGAATGATCCACCACCCAAATAATGCCTTCTCTGTCATAGTCTTATGGGGTCCTGGCTATTGAAGAACAAGGTAAGAGGGGGACTAACAAATTATGCAGAGAAATGGATGAACTACAATCTGTAATTGCAGAACTACAGAGTGCACCTATATAGTAAATGAAGTTGATAAAATGGACAGTGATACAAGGATGTGTTTTTAATGAAGTCACCTGTGTGTGTCTGTGTGTGAATGTTTTAAAATGTATTAAAAAAATACATGTATATATTTTTATATATATCAGTGGTTAGTGTCATGTTTTCTGCTGCCAGTGGTTTCTGATGTAACTGTGTATGTGCTTGTATATTCTGGGCTTAGGTTTACCAGCTGATACACTCCAGGGCCATCGTGAACGTTTCCACGATCAGTTCCATAGGCAAGTAGCACAAACACTTTCGTACTGTGAAATATGCTATTATTTTACCATTATTTTACCATACCATTGTTTTATTTTGTTCTTTTTTTTTGTTTTGTTTTTTTTTTTGGCCCAATGGCAGTAGCCTGTCCATAGATAAAATAGTAGTTGTATTCAGCTGTAGCTGCATCAAAAATTCTCCAAGTACCTGGAAAAACATTTTGTAATTTTTTTAATTGGACGAATGAATAGCTGTCGTCATAAAATTTAACTGGCAAATACTACTGGCAAATCTCACTCAGTGCAAATAATATTATGCAAGCCTGATGCAGTAGCAACTTAAATGTGTTGTGTCTACCGCATGGTGGGGACAAGAATCCTGAAAAAAAGTTGAATAGTCATTTTGGATAATACTATTTTGGCAGTGGAATTTTTGTCACATTTAATTAATTTAAATCTTTTACAACAGGTATGGTCATTTAATCAGCTTTATAGAAATCCAGATATCTGCATTTGCACATAAAAGAATATTTAGAAATTTAACCGGAAACTATGTTGTCAATGATTTATATATGTGGTTGAATGTTTTATGTGACATTTTCATTCTTTTTTCAGTCTCAAAACATTTTTTAATAAAGCAAGAGACATGGTGTACTTCAAAAGGCTTATCCAGATCCCAAGACTACCTGATGTAAGGAAAAGTAGTCCTTTTTATTTTATTATACAATAATAATTTTGTGCAATTTAGAGGTAAATATTATAAACTAGTGTTTTAGGGGTTTAATTTAATATTGAAATAGTTTTGGAATGCCAAGATGTTATTAAATAACCTGTGTGTGTGTGTGTGTGGGGGGGGGGTGTTTATTTATATTATATAATATCTATGATTTATGATCTATGCAGTCCCCTCCAAACTTCCTTCGTGCCTCTGCACTAGCAGAGCATGTGAAACCAATGGTTGTCATCCCAGATGATGAGGAACCTGAGGAGCAGGAAGAGGATGAGCCTGAACCACTAATAGATGTGAGTGAGGCTCCTCCAGCCAGCATGGCTTCCCAGCCACAGGTGAGCATTTTCTGTTGGTAGAAGCAAATCCAGAGATTATTCTAAAGGAAAATGACACTGCATTGAACACTGCATTGGACACTACATTGTTTTATTAATACTGTTTTCTATTGTGCATCACACCCTACAATTCCTAAATTAAAATTCCTAAATTTCCCACCTAGGATCAACATAGTGTATCTCATTTTTTTCTTACAATTCACTGAAGAAATAGAACATTGCTATAATTCACTGAATAAATAGAACATTGGGACAAAAGTTGGGACACTCTGTAAAATGTAAATAAATGTAAAAAACAATACAATGGTTTGCAAATCTCATAAAACTATATTTTATTCACAATAGAACATTAAACAAATATCAGATGTTGAAAGTGAGACATTTTAACATTTCATTTTAACAAGTTCATTTAGAGCTTGATGGCAGCAATGCATCTCAAAAAATTGGGACAGGGCCATGACTACCATTGTGTAGCATCCCCTCTTCTTTTAACAACAGTCTGTAAACGTCTGGGAAGTGAGGAGACCAATTGCTGAGTTTTGGGAGAGGAATGTTGTCCCATTCTTGTCTGATGTAGGATTCTAGCTGCTCAATAGTCCTGGGTCTTCTTTGACAGATTTTTGTTTCCTGATGCGCCAAATGTTTTCTATTGCTGAAAGGTCTGTACTGCAGGCAGGCCAGTTCAGCACCCAGACTCTTCGTCTGTGAAGCCATGCTGATGGATGCAGTATGTGATTTAGCATTGTCTTGCTGGAATATACAATTCCTTCCCTGAAAGAGACATTGTCTATATACTGTTCAGCATTGATAGTGCCTTTTAAGCTGCCCACGCCATAGGGACTAATGCAACCCCATACCATCAGAGATGCAGGCTTTTTAACAGTGCACTAATAACAAGCTGAATGGTCCCTCTCCTCTTGAGTCTGCAGGACACAGTGTCTGTGGTTTCCAAAAAGAAGAAAAAAAAGGAATAAAACAGTTTTGCTCAGGTTTTTTTGCAGTTCAAAGTTACTAGTCTAAGTGGTTAATGACCCAAATTGTATGCATGTCTCAAATTGTATGCATATTGGACTGTAGTCTTTAATTTCTTGTGTTTTGTTTTGTGTTTTTTTTTTTCTCAGGTTGACATATTTGATCAGGCATTTGGGCCTCCTAATAATGGTTTTGACGACAGGTATGAAAGATTCCTTTTTTTTTTTAAATGAACTATAATCAACAGTTTCCATTTCTCTTTTGAAATGTCGCATGGTATATGTTTTCTCTACTCTAAAGGGACCTCCAGATTGAAAGTCTGAGGCAAGAAATTGAGTTACTGCGAGCAGAACTTGAGAAGATCAAAGCTGAGGTAGGGAAAAAAAAAACATTGGTGCAGTTTTATACTCCAAGATTGCATAATATTTTAATAATTGTACTTACCTAATTTTTGTATTGGGTGTGCCAACCACACTAGGGCCCTGCTTACTGATGCAGTTGTACATCTTTGCCTCATAGAAAGACAGCAACATAATTATTTTTGGCTTTAAAATCTAAAATCAAAATTGCTCAATTTAAAGAATGCATAAATGTTGTCTAAAAAAATGTGCAAAGGCCTTGGGAATCTGTGTAAGATTTGCAGTGGTGTGAGTCAGCTAAACGTGACATGTTATTATTGCAGTTGAAATTAAAATTAATTTTTATATGGATGGTCCACTTTCTTTCTTTCTTTCTTTCTTTCTTTCTTTCTTTATTTATTTATTTATTTATTTATTTATTTATTTAGCATTGTGGACTATATTGTCCCTTTATCCCTAATCCCTTTATTCTTTTGATGAATTTTAAACCTGATCACTTTATACATAAAACAATGCAAAGGTTTAATGTCAAAAAGAATGTTATTAAGACAAGATTTAGACCAGCTTTAGATATTTTGTTGAGGATATGTGGATGTGTTCTGCATTTGTGAGTGCATACGTAGTGTACCCACCTATCCAGATAACACTGATTAAATAACTGCATTGTAGGTTCTCTCCCTTTTTAATGCATACTGTCCTATTCGCCAAATCTCTCTCTCTCTCTCTCTCTCTTTCTCTCTCTCTCTCTCTCTCTCTCTCTCTTTTAGGCTCAACGCTATATTACTCAATTAAAGTCTCAAATCAACAGCCTAGAGGCAGAGCTGGAGGAGCAGAGAGTGCAAAAGCAGCGTGCCCTGGTGGAGAACGAGCAGCTACGTATGGAGTTGGAAGTCACACGAAACCGTAACACAGAGCATGAGAGCATGCAGTCTACCTTTGTGGAGGCAGAGAGTAAGTTTAGATGTCTTTATGCTGATTTGTAGCATACTGTTTCACAACAACATAAAGTATACAGCAAGAATGGATGTGCCCTGTTCAATATCCCTAAAAAATATTTGGAAAATTACAAAGTCCAATACAGCTTAGTTTGTTTTGATTTACAAAAACAAGAACAAAGTGGCTCAGGTATTGTGTGTGTGTGTGTGTGTGTGTGTGTGTGTGTGTGTGTGTGTGTGTGTGTGTAGAACTGTTTAACTATATTGTAATAAAGTGTTGAGAAATTAAAAGGAACTGCACTCACACCCTTTCCTAGTGAGATTTCATTTGTTATTTTTTTGACATTTTATCCACCTTGGTTGTTCAAGCCTCCTTGGTATAGATAAACGTAGCACAACTCTGTGTGCCATTATTCACAGGGGATTCTTTTCAGGTCCTCTTTGCTTCCCTTCTTTTTGCTTTAAGATTCCCAAAAGATGTTCTGTAGGATACAGGTGAGGTGAAATACTTGGCCAGGTGATGCTTTTTAATTTGTTCTTCTTTAAAAACTCTTGTGTGCTTTTCACAGTGCGGATCATTGTTGTGTTGGAACATTTCATTTGTTTCAAGTGTTTTGAGAGTTGGAAACTTCTCATTCGGTATTTTGGTGTACATGTTACTGTTCATGATGCCATCTGTAAATGTCACCTCTACTGTACCTGCTGAAGTCATACAGCTCCATATTAACAGAATACATCCCCTGTTTCACAGTTGTAACTGTGATGGTCCTCTTTAGGAATTTGTGATCTTGTGTCTGCAAGAATTCATGCAAATTCAACAAATCCTTGCAGTGTTTACCAGAGCTCACAACTTTTGTCCTATTACTGCATTATTTCAGCACTAAACAAGAAATCTGTGAAATGCTTTCAAAATGAAATGTGCAGTGTCCATGCTGCGTGCCGGTAAGCCACAGTTGCTCCTAAGCCACTGCTAAGCTAAGCTGGACGCAGCTAAATTTTGTTAGTTCCATTCAGATTGCCTATCTTTGTGTCTGTGTAAACACTCCTCCCTTTCTTTTGCAAGCAGTTGCCTTCTCTTTGTGCTGTGACTGAGCCTGCAATGTAGCAATGCTACATAACAATACGTAATACATAACAATGTAGATGCTGATTTGAAAAAAAAAAAAGTTCACAGCATAACATCTTTAAAAGTTATTTAGTAGTTTTATTGGAAGCACTTCGTAACTTTAAAGTGAGATATCCTTGTGTTTTGGCTGACACATATCCATTTGTTTTCCTCCTGCCTTTGCATTTTACAGTAAAACACCAGTCAGTTGTTGGTTATTTTGTATGGCAGTCAAACGTCCCTTTGTCAAAGTAGGCAGTTCTTGGCCTTGTTAAGGCAGAAGTCTCACTTGCAATTGTGAAGCCATGAGTAACAGATCACATGTACCAACAAACATTTCAGCTGTAGACAGGGTTAAGAGGTACACTTAATTTTTTTATTTGTTTTCACAAAAATGAACTAGGCTACATTTAAGTATTTAAGAAAACTCACTTTTGTCATGAACTGTACATATCTACACTGACTTGTAGAGGTTGCTGATATAACAATGTTTTGTTTGTAAAGACAATTTATGTATAAAATACACTTTTATCAGTACAGTATAATCAGTACAAATGCATGTACCATCAAAAGACAGATTTAGACCAATTATAAAGAGACTATTAATAATAACCACAATCAGTGTATAGTTACCGCAAAGCCACATACAATACCCAAACCTTTACACTTTAACCCAAAGTTCTGTGTTAATATATTGTGTATTGTGAAAATGTGTTTGCCACATCACCCACCCTCACTGGATTGTTAAGGGAAACTTATGCTGACTTTTTCGCTACAGAGAGGGCCCAGGCTACAGAACTGCGCTATAACAAGCTAAAGGAGAAGCATGCTGAGCTAGTAGCCAACCATGCAGAACTCCTTAGGAAGGTATGACTGTGTGTCTGTGTCTGTGTCTGTGTCTGTGTCTGAGTATGAGAGAGAGAGAGAGAGAGAAAAATGTTAAAAAGCATTGTCTGGAACTTGCAGAGTGCGGACACAGTGAAGATGCTGTCAGCCACTCAACAGACACAAGAAGAGGTGGCCAGAACAAAGCAACAGTTAGCATTTGAGGTGGAAAGAGTCAAGCAGGATTCTGACATGAAGGTCTTTCACACACATACACATGAACCCACTCATCTTGTCAGCTGGATGATTAATGTTCAAAGAAACTAAAGTCATGTTTTAAGCAAGCTAATGGCTTGGTTTGTCTCTTCTTACTGACCAGTGAAACATCATAAATTTGTGTATTATGAATTTCTTGTTTCAGGTGGAGGAGCAAAAGTTTGAAATGGATAAATTGAAGCGAGTGGTGGAAGAAAAGATTGGAGAGATCCAACGAATCAAGGACACCCTGCAAACTTGCGAAAAGGTGTGTATTTGTTTGTATCTTGTTAAAAGGTGTGTGTCTCCATCTTTGTGTATCTTGTTAGAATTTATGTGTCTGTGTTTATCCGTCGATAACTGATCTTACTGATGTGTATGTTCACATTTGCTCATTACATCCACTATAGGCTAATGAGCAAATGAACACCTCCATGACCTCACTCCAGGTGGAAAAGGAGCGCCTGATGCGCTGTGTCAGTGAAAAAGAAGCTGAGCTCTCTGCCCTAAGGCAGGCAGCGCAGGTAAAGGAGTCCGCCCTTGTGCAGGAAAGGGAGAGGAGCACTAAGGAGCTTGGAGAACTTCAGGGCAAGCTGAAAGAGAAGGTAGGCTGGACCTGGAAATATATATGGGTTAATTCAGCTTGGTTACAACTGAACATTCATCTTTAGAAGCAGAAGCAGTTTTATCTTAATTCTTGAAATAGTTACAGAGCTGTTTACAAGAAACTGGTTACAAAACCAGTTCTGCTGGTTTTATAGGTGTGCCAGAAGCAGAGCAGCACAACTGGGGTGTCAACTATACTGCTTTGTGCAATGCTTTGTTGTTACAACGTGTAAAGAAAAATCATTGCTGGAGAATATTTTGTAAATGTGTTTCCACTTGGGGCAGTTGGTAAAAGTAGATTTGAAGCCCAAAAATTACACTTTGGGTGCAGTCACTTTTATTGTGGAGTCTTTGATATTGGTGACCACAATAAAAGTTATAAAATGTTCCATTTGTCCTTTTAAAGTTATAGATTTTAAGGTAATATGCATATTATGCAAAATCGCTCAAATTTTTGAGAGAAAAAACTAGTCCCTGAGTTTTTGCACAATTTGCACAAATCTGTTATCACTTGAATCTTAAGAAGCTGAACTTTAATAACTATCAAAAAATGTTGGAATTTCATCACTGTGTATCATCCAGGCCCCACCCGAAAATGTGGGTGGAGCTCAAATTTCAAAACTCATGCATATACAGCTATAACTCAGAAACGCATTGACCAATTGTTACGAAACTTAACATGCGTGTAAGCTATGGCAGTCGTAGACGATTGTCAGAGTCTGGTGGAACTGCATCACTAGGTGACGCTATAACAAGCAAAAAAGTGTTACGCAACCAAAGGTTGTCTGGTTGACTTGAAAATTGGCATGTTGCTGCAATGTGCTGTCCTGGATCAGGATCTATGAGACTAATGTCATATTCAAAAAAACATGGCCGCCATAGGCCAATCAGATTTCAGCAGGTATTTGACAGCCTTCTAATTGGCCAATCACCACGAAACTTGATAGGTATCTCTAGGTATGGGCTCTCTACTAGCCATTGAAGTATGACAGATATTGGCCACTGGTGGGCACTGCTCATGTTTTAAAACACTAAAATATCTAAATAATAACACTATAGTATCAAATAATGAAGAAAAGTGATCATGACAACTTTGCAAGTGCAAGTCATTCACTAATTCTTATCATTTTTCTACAAATGCACATTGTTTGAATTTGACCTATTTTGAACTAGTCCTACAGTTTACATCTTATCTCAAATCGGGTCAAAAACTGAAGATTGGAGTCTGAAAGTAAATAATTATCAAAAAAATCTAAAGCATGTCTGCAACATGTTAATGAATCCATCTGGGCGGAGTGTTTACGACTCCATTATCTGTAATTCACACATACATCGTCTGATTGAAACCAAATTTGGTACAGACATACAGAATAATACTCTGAGGAAGCACGCCGATTGTGGTCTAACCAGACCTTCAGGGGCGCTACAACATGTAATCATATTTAAATTATGCTAAATTATCTCTCGCTCAGTTTACACTAAAGAAATGCAAATGTTGAAAAAATACTCAAGTGTTCAGACAAAACCACTTTGCCCTTAAACATGTTAAATTTTACTGGTAATCGAACATTGTGATTGATATATATTTTCATGACAGTACTGCTATGACAATAAGGCATTGTTCGATTGACACCAAACTTGGTATGCGTGCTCAAACACTAAAACAAGGTTAGTGCAAAGTTTAGTGGACATATGGTAATAGAGGGTAATCATTTCACATGGTGGGCATATATAAAAAATCATCACATTATAAAACAATAATTTCATACATGTATTCCAAAAACACAACAGATATTGCTTCAGTGCCTGTCATACTATGCACAAACCAAAGAAGAAGTTGTTCTACTGCAGCATGTAAAAATCATTTACTGCCGAAGTTGTGAGATCGGTTCATTAAGTTTGCATATTTGCACCCCGTCTGATTGGCTCGTAAGTCAATTTTAACAATTTATAAAATGAGTATTACCAATAAGTAGACCACCAAAACAGCAACCTTTAATTTAACGTCTTTCATATTATGAACATATCAAAGATGAAGTCCAACTACAGGAGCATTTTAAAGTAATTGGCAGCCAAAGTTACCAAAAAATCAGCTCATTTGTACCCTGTCTGATTGTCTCATGAGTCAAATTCAACACAATATAAAATGACCCATTCCAATAAGTAGACCAAAATAATACTATGAACATATGAAAGATAAGGTCCATTTACTGCAGAATTTTAACACGAAAGGCTGCATTTGGAAGCTTTAAAATTTTTCAATGATGATTAAAGTTATATACAAATCTTTACTGACATGTACCCCTGGAGGGTCATGGCCAAAATAGCAACTTTCAAAGAACGCTTGAACCCCACAAATCGCCGCTTGCAGCTATATGTACTATTATTATTATTATTATTATTATTATTAAGTTGGCTTGTAAAAGCCGACTAACTGTTCTTCGTAATCTTCTTATTTTTATTCTAGCCTCAAAAAATAAAATGCTTCTTGTCCCACAGTTTTCAAGCTAGAGCCACGAAACTTTGCTTGAAACTGTGTTTTTTTCCTAAAATTAACGTTCAAAGCCTATATTTTTTCCCATAATAAATGAATGGCAGAATGTTCATGACATTCAAGTCCAACTGACACAATTGACAAATCATGTCACAATACACATCTCTCCCACAGACACTCACAGTACACACAGACTCACACGCTTACAGCCTAATGCACAAATATTAGCACAAATAATAAATTAAAGGTAGCACCGCATGTAAGGTGGCACTGCTTTTAAGGTGGCGCTGCATTTAAGGTGGAATTGCATTTCAGGTAGCACTGATTTTTAGGTGGCAGTGAATTTCACATCAGTAAATTTAAGCTGGCAGTGGATTTAAGCTGCCACGGCATTTAAGGTAGCACTGAATTTAAGGTTAACTGCATTTAAGGTAGCACAGATTTTAAGGTGGCAGTGAATTAAAGGTATTAGTAAATTTAAGGTGGAAGTGCATTTTAAGGTGGCACTCTATTTAAGGTGGCACATAATTTGAATTTCAGGTGGAGTTACAATTAAGGTGGCACTAAATTTAAGGTGGAATTGCATTTAAGGTAGCACTGAATTTGAGGTGGCAGTGAATTTTACGTATCATTAGATTTAGGGTGGAACTGCATTTAAAGTAGCACTGAATTAAAGTTGGCACAGAATTTAAGGTGGAACTCCATATAAGGTGGCATTGAATTTAAGGTAGAACTGCACTTAAGATAGCAATAAATTTGAGGTATCAGTACATTTAAGGTGGAATTTCATGTAAAGTAGCACTGAAATTAAGGTGGCACAGAATTTAAGATGGAATTGCATTTAAGTTAGCACTAAATTTAAGGTGGTAGTGAATTTAACATATCAGTAATTTTAAGGTAGCACTGAATTTAAGGTGCAACAAATTACCATCCACCTTGGATACTGTAGTAACTGCCTAGCAACATTTTAGCCTTACTTTAACAACCATCAACAGACTTCCACCAGTTTAATGTTTTAATGCAATTAGTTGGCTTTTTCTAGCCAAATTGAAGTTCCTTCCCTTTCCAGTTAAGTTGGCTTGAAAAAGCCAGCTTACTGTTCTTTGTAATCTTCTTATTATCCTACACTCAAAATATAAAATGTTTCTCATCCCACAGTTTTTGAGCTAAAACCACGAAACTTTGCAGGATCATAGGTCCTATACCCACGGAGTGTGCTTGTGCTTTTGTAAGCAATTTGTCGTACGGTTTTTGTAAAATTATCGTTCAAAGACAATATTTTTTCCCCATAGGAAATGAACAGGCAGAATGCTCGGGACATTCAAACTAACTGCCACAAGTGATGTCACAATTCACATCTCTCACACAGACACTCATACACAGTACACACATGCTTACAGCCTAATGCACAGCAATATCAGCACAAATAATGAATTTAAGGTGGAATTGCTTTTAAGGTGGAATTGCACTTAAGTAGCACTGAATTTAAGGTGGAACTGCATTTAAGTTTGTACTAAAATTAAAGTGGCACTGAATTTAAGGTGGAACCGCAATTAACATAGCACTAAATTTAAGGTGGAACTGCAGTTAACATAGCACTAAATTTAGGGTGGAACTGCAATTAACATGGCATGGAACTCTGTTTAAGGTAGCACAGAATTTAAGGTGGAACTGCAATTGGCCTAGCACTAAAATTAAGGTGGCACAGAATTTAAGGTGGAACTGCATTGAAGATTGCACTGAATTTAAGGTGGCACAGAATTTAAGGTGGAACTGCAATTAACACAGCACTAAAGTTAAGGTGGCACAGGATTTAAGGTGGAACTACATTTTAGGTGGAACTGCAATTAACATAGCACTAAATTTAAGGTGGAACTGCTTTTAAGGTGGAATTGCACTTAGGTTTGCGCTGAATTTAAGGTTGCACAGAATTTAAGGTGGTACTTCAATTAACATAGCACTAAATTTAAGGTGGCACAGAATTTAGTGGAACTCTAAGGTAACACTAAAATTAAGATAGCACTAAAATTAAGGTGGATCTTCATTTAAGTTGGCACTGAATTTAAGGTGGAACTGCTTTTAAGATGGTACTAAAATTAAGGTGGAACTTCATTTACAGTAGCACCTTGCACTGCTGTATCATCCGCCTTGGATACTGCAGCATCCACTTAGCAACATTTTAATAACCATCAGCAGTCTTCCACCATTTTAAGATGCCTTTTCAAGCTAACTTAGTTTGTTCACAAATTTTCCCTTTTTTAGTTATTATTATTATTATTATTGAATAATTGAATGGTGAAACAATCAATCTAACTGCCACAAGTAATGTCACAATGCGCATCTCTCACACAGACACTCATACACAGTACACACAGACTCAAATACTTACGGCCTAATGCACAACAATAACAGTAGTGATAACTGTAGTTAAAACAGTAGTAATAACAGTAATAACAACTTAAATGGTAATAATAGAAATAGAACAGTAATAAAACAGTTATAACAGCAATAAAATAGTAACAACACTAGAAACGGTAACAATACATACTCAACACACCACACACATATAAAAGAACACACAGAACACGAATACACACACACAATCAACAGAACACACACACACACATACATACATACATACATACACCATGCAAGCCACACAAACCACATTACCTCAACACACCACAAACCACTCTAACTTAATACAACTCACCACACTCAGCACAACATACACACACACCAAACACACAAACCACACACACACAACACATACATGTACATACACCACAAACACAACACACACGCTCACACATACACCACCACACATACCACAAACACATCACACATACGTACCACAAACACACCAAAAACACACCACGCCACATATCATATATACACCACAGACACAAAACACACACTTAACACAACAACCACACCACAAGCACTCTACACACCAAACACTTTACATACCACACAGACTCAACTCTACACACCACACACACTCAACACACCATAGGGTAGCAGTGTATTTAAGGCACCAGTGAACTTAAGGGAGCAGTGCATTTAAGAAATCGGTAAATTTAAGATGGCAGTGAATTTAAGGTGGCAGTGAACTTAAGATAGCAGTAGATTTAAGGTAAAAATAGTTTTAAGGTATCAGTAAATTTAAGATAGCAGTGATTTTAAAAGTGGCAGTGGATTTAGAGTACTAATATTAAGTATCCGTGGATTTAAGATATCAGTGAATTTAAGGTAGCAGTGGAATTAAAGTGTCAGTGGATTCAGGGTATCAGTAAATTTAAGAAGGTAATGGATTTAAGGTAAGTGTGGTTTTAAGCTAACAGTGTATTTAAGATTTAAGGTGGCAGTGGATTTAAGGTAGCAATTATTTTAAAGTAGCCTAAGATTTAAGGTGGCAGTGGATTTAGGGTATCAGTAAATTTAAGGTGGCAGTGGATTTAAGCTAGCAGTGAAAATAAGGGGGCATTTAAGGTTTCAATGAATTTAAGGAGGCACAAGATTTAAGAAAGCAGTGGATTTAGGGTACCGGTATATTCAGTAGCATAGCAACCACCTAGCAACACTTTAGCAACAGCCTGGGACACCCTAGCAAGCACTTAGCAACACCTTAACAATCTTGAATACCATAGCAACCGCCTAGCAACATCTAAATAACACTTTTTAGCAACCATCAACAGCCACCATTTTAATGTTTTAACGTAATTAGTAGTAATGCTCCATTTTCCAGTTTTTTTCAACTTTGCTGACAGATTAGAAGCTCATAAGCTGGAATCTCTGTTGCTGTACAATGTTGGTAATATGCATGAAAATGTCTTGATGGTCATTTTCCCTATGGATACTGCTTTATTATTACCTGTGATTAAGTAATACCATAAAAAGCATCAAAGTAATTAATGTCTGCATATGTATGTCTGCAGCTCAGTCGTGAAGAGCTGTTGCAGAAGAAGTTGTTGGAGGAGCAATTTGCCCTGCTGCAAGGTACAGTGGCAGAGGCAGAAATCATCATTCAGGATGCTGTGGCCAAACTGGACGACCCTCTGCATATCCGCTGCACCAGCTCACCAGGTACTACAGACTTATATACATTTCCAGACATGGAGAATCTTTGCTAGTTACAAATAGAAAAAGAAACAGAATTAAACAAAAAGTGCAATACAATACATTTCAGTAAGTGCTTAAATTAGTGCTCACATAAATGCTGTAAAAAGAGGTGTGTCTTCAGTCTGTGTTTGAAGACCACGAGAGAGTCTGCTGTTCGGACAGCCAGTGGGTGATCGTTCCACCACCTTTGTGCCAGGACAGAGAACGGTCTTGATGCTTGCCTTCCATGTGTCTTGAAGGATGGCGAGTCAAGCCGAGCTGTACTTGAAGCTCATAGGGCTCAAGGTTCAGTTCGAGTTTTGACCATTGCCATTAGATAGAGAGGGGCTGGTTTTGTAGGCAAGCATCAGTGTTTTAAATCTAGCCAGTGAAGGGAGCGCAGCAGTGGAGTGACATGAGTGACCTTAAAAAGATTATAGAACAGTAATAAACCAGTTATAACAGCAATAAAATAGTAACAACACTAGAAACACTAACAATACACACCACACATATATAAAAGAACACACAGAACATGCATACACACATGCAATCAACAGAACACACACACACACCTTGCAAACCACACAAACCACATTACCTCAACACACCACAAACCACTCTAACTTAAATACAACTCACCACACACACACCACAAACACACAAACCACACACACACAACACATACATGTACACACACCATGCCTTCCAAGTCATGCTGCTGCATTCTGGATGAGTTGCAGGGGCCTGATGACCCACATAGAAAAAACAGCCAAGTGTGCATTAGTCAAGCCTTGAGATGACAAGAGACTGAACTAACATCTTAGTGGCCTCTTGAGTAAGAAAGGGTCGAATCTTCTGGATGTTGTACAGGAGAAACCTGCATGACTGAGTCAGGTTTGCAATATGAGCTGAGAATGATAACTGGTCATCCAGAATCACGCCAAGACTTTTTGCATTTTCAAATGGAAGGATCAAAGAGTTGCCAAATGAGATGGCAAGATCATGGTGAGGACCTGTAGTTCCAGGGATGAATAGCAGCTCAGCAGAGAATGAGTGAAAAAAGTGAAAGTGAAGTGAAAAAAGAAGATGACCCAGCACCAAGCCTTTTGGGACACCAGTGGAGAGCCTGCATGGAGTGGATGTTACCTGACGAGAGCTCCCCTCCAGATTGGATTTAACCACTTCCATGCAGAGCCAATGATTCCAAAGTTGGTAAGGACAGACAGAAGGATCATGTGGTTGACCGTGTCAAAAGCTGCAGATAGGTCAAGAACATTTAGAACAGATGACAATTTGGTTGATCTTGCTGCCACCTGGAGGTTTTCTGTCACTGTTATGAGGGCGGTTTCTGTTGAGTGCGCCGGTTTGAAGCCAGACTGGTTGGGGTCCTGGAGCAAAAGAGAAGAAAGAGAAACAGTTGATTATAAACTGCACGTTTGAGAATTTTTGAGAGGAAAGAGAGGAGTAATACTGGTCTGTAGCTGTTGACATCGAGCTGTCAGGCATGGGCTTCTTCAGAATCGAAACCACCCTTGCAGTGTTGAATGCTGATGAAATGTCACCTGATGACAAGGAGTTGTTTATGAGAAAAGTTGATAAAGGACAGTGGATCTATGGAGATTGACTGGAGGAAAGAGGAGAAAATGCTCAAGAGCTTGCATAGATCAGATGCTGATGCTTCCAGTTTCCCTCTGTAGAAAGAGGACTTTACAGCAGTTACTTCAAGTGAGAACTTAGAAAGGAGAGGTTGGTAGGAGCAAAGATTGGAGTCAGGCTGGGATTTCCTTCACTTTCTCTCAGCCTTCCTTAGCTCTTGCTGGTTGCTGTGCAGGACGCCTGTCAGCCAAGGGACATGGGGAGGATCTTGCTGGCCTGGAGGAGAGGGGACACAGAAGGTTAATTGCAGATGAGAGTAAAGAAAGGACTGTGTCTGTAGCTGTGTCTAGTGAGAGAGAAGAAAATGCATCAGGATGGGGAAGGGTAGTCAAGATAGTTTAAGTGAGAGACGAGGGTGGAATGGAGTGCAGGTTATGCTGAGTAAAAGAAGAGCATGAAGGTTTGGTATGGACAGGAGTAGCAGGGAGCTAGAGTGTGAAAGATAGAAAGTGGTGATCAGAGCAGTGAAGAGAGGTTACTGTGACATCCAGTGTTGGGGTAGGTCTGCTGAATATCAGGTCCAGAACGTTGCCTGTTCTGTGTGTCTGGTTAAGGGTGAGGTCAACAGATATTAGCAGTGGTAGGAGGCAGGATGACTGCAGCTTGTCAGATGGAAGGTTGAAGTCACCCAAGAGTATGAGTGGGGATCCATTGATGGTGAAGAGACTCCAGCCCTGCCAGTCTCTCTCGGAGAATGGAAAAAAGTTAAAGGCAGAGGACAGGGCTGCTGGAGTCGCTGAGTTCTTGGTAGTGATCCAGGTGCCTGTCAAGGCCAGGAAGTGCAGTGAATGGAAGGATGCTAGGGCTGAATGAAATCTGCCTTCTGGACTATGGATTGGCAATTCCAGAGCCCACCTGCCACCCTGGTCTGAGATTCTGACAGCCATGGGGAGTAGATAAGGTTACTGGAATTGCAGATCCTGTGACGATGAATGGTTCTGCTAGATCTATGAGATAAGTGGACAGGTATTGGAAAACCTTTGAATGTTAGATGTTCAAAACTGGAGACAAAAAGAGATAAATGAAGAATAACAAAGTAATACTTAGCCAATGTTAGCCAACCACACTTTGACTAGTAATTACAATTGAGCACTAGGTTGAACAAGACAGCCTTGTGACTAACAGAGTCTAAGCTAAAGAAAGTTTCAACTCAGTGTCTGCCTTTACCAGCAGAAAGACAAATCTCAGTCAGAAGACATTTAATCTACAAAAACAACTTTGTATTTTGTTTTCATTATTTTTGACAAATGACCAAGAATACTCTGGGTTGCTCTGATGTGTAGAAATGAGCATTATGGGGGTAAAGAAGAAATGTAATATCTTCTCATCTTCTTTCCTAGATTACCTTGTAAGCCGTGCAGAAGCCACACTGAGCTCTATTGATAAAGTGCAGGCAGGCCATGCCCACTATTTGAAGAATATGGGAGGTGAGGTTTTCCTATCTTTTTCTCTTTTCCCCTCTGAAATATTACCAATTATTCAATAATATAATTGGACATTATTAAGGATTTTGCTGCCCCACAAGTAGGTGAGAGCGTAGCATGTGTGTTAGGTTGTGCTCTACTCTCTCCAAGTCTAATTTGAGTTTTGTTGTGTCTGGCTATGTGTATTGTACTCTCTTCTGTCTGATCCAGATGCTGGGGTTCTGTTAAGGGCTCTGGCTCAATTTTCTCATCTGACTGCTGACACAATCATCAATGGGAGTGCAACAGCACACATGGCACCAACTGATCATGCTGACCGTAAGACTTACCACCAAATTGTACAAACATCACAAGCATGGCTTCATGATAAAAAGAAGAGTTGCCCTCTACACAATTCCAAATTCTCACACAGACACATATAATGTACATTTGTAAACTTGCTGTACTGTGCCAGTTGTGTTCTAATGGATTTTATTAGTAATCTTCTTGACTTATCTGTCATGTATGGTGTATGCAGGATTGACAGAGAACTGCAGGGGCTGTGCCATTCAGAGTTTGCGCTTCCTGCAGGAGTTGAAGTCTAAAGCATCCCTAAAGGAGGCTGACCCTGCCTCTATTCGCGTGATGGTACAAAAGATCCAGCGAATTGCACAGGTGAGGCAGAATTGAACAGAGCAAAATAAAAAGCTACATAGCAAAAGTGACATTTATTCTATACTTGCTGCCTTCACTCTAACTGTGGCACCAAGAGGTTAGAACTCTGTGATGGAACACATGACATACACACAGCTGCCAGTTTAGTGTGGTTAAAATGGGTCATAACCAGTGTTGGGGTAGTTACTCAAAAAAGTAATCCATTACTGATTACTCATTACTTAACTAAAATTGTAATGGTATTACTTTACACATTACTTTCTGGAAAATGTAATCTCAAACCTTATTACTTTACTTTTAAGTTACATTCTAAAACCCATACAAAATATACTGGAATCAAATCTACAAACGTATCTGGAAAGTACAAAAATGGTAGATAATAGCTCTTTCCATAGGTTATTTAGGAATAAAATGTACCAGTAGCAGCAACGTTAGACGTGTATAAAATGAATTTCACTATATTTTGTGCTACTATTTTCTCTTAACAAGTCCATATGTATTTAAACGATAGAAAAGTATAGTCCAATAAAAGCTTCTTCCACAGCAGAATTAGATTTTTAGGTAAAAATCTTAGGTTGCAGTAAAATAAAGCTCTACTGATCGTTCTAACACAGTTTTAACAATAAATTATTTTAAACGCTGTAGTTAATATAGCCTATAACTGCTAATTCACTCTTTAACCCTGAAGGTTGGCGCACAGACTACTGGTCACACAGCAACACAGTCTCGCCTGGCTAATAGTTAAAGAAAAGGCTAAGAGGAAGATTTAAGATGAACATCGATAATTTGGAGACGAAAGGAGTTATTAGCATTCAGAATCACTCCAGCTGGTTTCTTGCCACGAGAAACTGTCAAACCACTAAGAAGTCGCGAAGCTGAAGTCAGCTTCTCATTCGAATTCTCACGTTCCACCTTAAATGGTGCAGCAGTTACATTCTGGCGCCTCAGGCACCATTTAAGGTGGGTTGCTGACTCCTGGTCTAAATGATGGCGACTCTACATTAGACATTGGTAGCATTTCCTCGACTATGTATCTTGCTACGAGTCTCTTTATTTCTCCCTGAGTTACCTTCATCCCTGCTGCTGAATGAAAATTCAGTTCATCTTGTTTGGTTGTTGGGGAACTCTCTCTTTCAGTGCAGGGGTCTTTAGCCACGAGTTTTGTTTTAGCTTGCACCCTTATTAAGTGCTTCAACGAATTGCTTGTTGAGTTTTCAGCAGTTGAAAGGTGCTTTTGGCTTGGACATGGCTTACACTTCACGGTAATAATTTAGTCTTTGCGTGAAACAAATTCAAAATAATGAGAATATCTCCCTTTGTGGAAACATCCGCTCTAATCCTCTGCCATTGTTGCCAAACTGCGTTTGTGCTGCGCTTCTCATATTCGTAGTCACATGACCAGTGCAGTCCACAAATTAACAGAACCAGGAACAGTGCAGTCCACAAATTTAACATATAGGTGCACAGGGGGTATACGATTATTGAATGGGGCCATCTGTTGCTGCGCAAATGTGCATATTTAACATACATCCATTTTTATTGACAAAATTATATATGCAACATATATTAAGGTTATTATCCATCTTTCTCATTTTTTTCCTCCTGCCTGACATCAGGATCTGAGGCCTAAAGGAATGGATGTTGGAAAGGATGAGTTGGGTGACATAGTAGATAAAGAGATGGCTGCCACTTCTGCTGCTATAGAGGAAGCTGTGAGGAGGATTGATGTAAGTTTGAGAACAAGAGAGGCCACCAGCATGACTGCAAAGACTTCCCAGCTAACTTTGCAGCCTGTGTTGGAGAAGCTATCAGATTGTGAAAGACTCACTACAGTCACAGTTTTAATAACTGTTTGTTTTGCTCTCAGCTTGTATGGTAGTAAAAACTTTGCCTACACATCAGTGAAGTGCTTTGAACTTGAATGGAATCTGAGCTGTGTCATATGTCATCTACAGGTGCATCTCAATAAATTAGAATATCATCGAAAAGTTAATTTACTTCAGTAATTCAATTCAAAAAGTGAAACTTGTATATTATATAGATTCATTACACTCAGAGTGATCTATTTCAAGCGTTTATTTTCTTTAATGTTGATGATTATGGCCTATAGCCAATGAAAACCCAAAAGTCAGTATCTCAGAAAATTAGAATGTTGTGAAAAAGTTCAATATTGTAGACTCATGGTGTCACACTCTAATCAGCTAATCAACACAAAACACCTGCAAAGGTTTCTTAAGCCTTTAAATGGTCCCTCAGTCTGGTTCAGTAGGCTACACAATTATAGGGAAGACTGCTGGTAGGTCATTGCTAAAGAAGCTGGCTGTTCACAGAGTGCTGTATCCAAGCATATAAATGGAAAGTTGAGTGGAAGGAAAAAGTGTGGTAGAAAAAAAGTGCACAAGCAATAGGGATAACCGCAGCCTTGAAAGAAAAGATTGTCAAGAAAAGGCGATTCAAGAATTTGGAGGAGATTCACAAGGAATGAACTGCTACTGGAGTCAGTGCTTCAAGAGCCACCACACACAGACGTATCCAGGACATGGGCTAAAACTGTCACATTCCTTGTGTCAAGCCACTCATGACCCAGAGACAACGTCAGAAGCGTCTTACCTGGGCCAAGGAGAAAAAGGACTGGACTGTTGCTCAGTGGTCCAAAGTCCTGTTTTCAGATGAAAGTAAATTTTGCATTTCATTTGGAAATCAGGGTCTCAGAGTCTGGAGGAAGAGTGGAGAGGCACACAATCCAAGCTGCTTGAGGTCTAGTGTGAAGTTTCTACAGTCAGTAATGGTTTGGGGAGCCATGTCATCTGCTGGTGTTGGTCCACTGTGTTATATCAAGTCCAAAGTCCGCACAGCTGTCTACCAGGACATTTTAGAGCACTTCATGCTTCCCTCTGCTGACAAGCTTTATGGAGATGCGGATTTCATTTTCCAGCAGGACTTGGCACCTGCCCACACTGCCAAAAGTACCCAAAGTTGGTTTAATAACCACAGTATCGCTGTGGTTGATTGGCCAGCAAACTCACCTGACCTAAACCCCATAGAGAATCTATGGGGTATTGTCAAGAGGAAGAGGAGAGACACCAAACCCAACAATGCAGACGAGCTGAACGTCTCCATGCCACGCCGCATTCATGCAGTAATTCATGCAAAAGGTGCCCCAACCAAGTATTGAGTGCATATACTGTACATACTTTTCAGTAGGCCAACATTTACGTGTTCAAAATCATTTTTCAAATTGGTCTTATATAATATTCTAATTTTCTGAGATACTGACTTTTGGGTTTTCATTGGCTGTAGGCCATAATCATGAACATTAAAAGAAATAAACGCTTGAAATAGATCACTCTGTGTGTAATGAATCTATATAATATATGAGTCCGACTTTTTGAATTGAATTACTGAAATAAATCAAATTTTCCATGATATTCTAATTTATTGAGATGCACCTGTATGTCATGGAGCCTCCTACGGGAGAAAGAACATTTGGTAGCAGTATTTTAAATATGATATTGAAATTGATATACTTGTAGGTTGTTTAATTACATATATGTTTTGCCTCTAGGAAATGATGAATCAGGCTAGACGAGACACTGAAGGAGTCAAACTGGAAGTGAATGAGAGGTCTGCCATTTTTTTTAATTAGAGTAAATGTCTCAGGTTTGTGTTGCTAAACTTGATGTTTTATTTTTTTCAATTGTATGCCTTTTTAGAATACTGAATAGCTGCACTGATCTCATGAAGGTAAGATGGAGGTTTTCAAATAATGAAGATCAGCTCTACCCTTTTATAAATATTGTCAGCTTAGAATTATAAGGTTCTGTCTGCATTCAGTGCAGTTTTGAGATATTGAGGAGCAAAAAAAACTCAAAAGCAAAACTCCAATGTAATGCAGTTAACTTTCATATCCTAAGAAAGTCATTGTTTTTAGATACTTTTCACTGCTGAATGTTAAAATCTTAGGATATTTGGTGATAATCTGCATTTTTTCTTTGTCAGTCTTATCTATAATTCATTCTTCCTTAATGCACTTTGGTTTCCCTTTCTTACAGGCTATTCGCCTCCTGGTACTCGCATCCACAGACCTGCAGAAGGAGATTGTGGAAAGTGGAAGGGTAATTTTGAGTTGTTCTATACATACAGTTGTGGGACTAGCTTTTGTCTTAATACCTGATATGTCTTCTAGCTGTTGTTTCGCAGCAATTAGCAGACATTTAGCGCACATTTGTGTTTCTTTTAATATTTTTGCATAGTTTTTCTCATGTAAGCTCTTTGTGGTAGAATGAACAGACCAGATGTTAAGTTTGACTTAGTTTTACTTTACTTCTTTTGATAGCTTTATTAGAAGCTTGTTCTTGTTCAGTTTTGAGAAGTTCATGTTGTGATATTGCTGTAGCATAAAGATTGCCATGCTAAATTTGCTGTGGGCTTTGTGAAAACAACTCTTTCACTAGCAAGCCAACCCTGGAACATAGCACTGCCTCTTCTATGCTTAGTCATGGGAACTGCGGATGTGCATGCGGAATTCATGTACATGGTCATAAGCCATACTAAACTGAATGGCTTATGTACAGTAAGTGGCAAAAATATTGGGACAGTAGGGGTAAAAAGGGTTATTTTTGTAATATATTCATAAAATTTGTATTATGTACAAAACTAATGCATTTCACCTCATTGTCCCAATATTTTTCTTTCTTCACTGTACCTCTACTATAAAGACATGATTATTATGTCTATTTAATAATAACTATAACAATAACTTCATTTATAGAGGCCTTTTCATACCAGTAGCAGCAAGCTCAAAGTGCTTGACAGACAGGTGATAAAGTTTAGCAGTAACAGAACAAGTTAAAGTTGGGTTCAGACATTTTTTTGTGTCATGTATTTTTAACTAATTTGTTACTGTTTGGTAACAGCACACCCATTGAGGATTTATAACCTTATGAAAGTGATGAGGATGTCTTAGTAGTAGTTTTTGCATATTGTTACCTTTTCTCTTCTACTTTTCTTTTTTTTGTCTCCTCCTTTGTTTCTGATCTTTGAAATAGATTGTGAGAGGAGACAAGATCAAAATGTTTACCAGTATTTGTCAAGTAAATCTTAGAACCCTAGGGTAATTTTGTGTAATTGTTTGATATATTGGACACTTACAATTATGAAGTATTTACATTAGACAGTCATACATGCCATATGCTGTTTGGAGACACTGGGCTACTCAGATGTGCCATTATTTGACATGTAAATACTAACAGAATTTTGATATCTCTGTTAATTTGGCTGATTTTTGTTTCAAATTGTAGTTAGTGCCTGCCAAATTTTGTACATTTTTGCTTATAAAGATTTTGAAAACACGTGACACTTTTGTTTGTCTAGAGTGTCTTTGAGCTGAAAACACACAGCAAGAGAAGACTTTATTTTTAATTTCAAATTGAGTTGCATATTTACTATCAGCTCTTTTTAATATTAAAATATTGAAATATTAAGTGATCAGAGAGTCATCAAAATCTATCTATTAAGATACTATTACTAGTAAGTCTGTTCAAACTTTTGCTTGGTGTAGTATACATATGTTTTCATATTAAGTAAGCACAGGCTTTGTTTAATTATATGAAACGCTAAGAGTGCAGTACTAGTAGTGTTGTACTAAAGGCCAAGTATATATATTCTTTTTAAAAATTTATGTAAATGACATTGCCACCTCAATTGTTGACTGCAAAGTACACTTATATGCTGATGACACTATCTTGTACTGCTCGACAGACTATATTGGTACTGCAGTAGATAAACTACAACATTCTTTTAATGTCCTACAGTCGGCTTTTTACAACCATAAACTAGTTTTAAATGTTGAGAAAATTAAATTTATGCTTTTTTTCCAGAGCCTCTAACATTGATTTTAGCACTTCTAAAATCACAACCCTGGAGGGATCTGACATTGAAAGAGTCAATGAGTACAAATACCTTGGCATATGGCTAGATGACAAATGCACTTTTAAACAACATGTTAACAAACTTACCTGTAAACGGAGACAAAAACTTGGCTCCCTGTATCGTAACAAAGTATGTTTCCCAAAGCACACAAGGAAAAAGATCATTGAAGAAACATTATTGCCTGTTCTGGATTATGGTGACGTGTTATACAGATATTCACCTATAACTACTCAGAAATCTCTAGACTCTGTATACCACGCTGCCTTAAGATTCATTACTGGTGACCCCTACAACACCCATCATTGTATACTGTATGAATAGGTTAACTGGTCATCTCTGTCTCTGCGTCAGGAGACACATTGGCTTCTTGTTATCTATAAAGCGCTATAAAGAGCTGAGAAAATCTGCTTTTAGCTACAGTGCACCAGCGAGCTGGAATTCATTACAGGAAACTTCACTCTCTGGTGTCACATGAACATTTTAAACTTTTAGTCTCTAACCACCTCTGCACAGCCTGCAACTGCTTTATTTGATTTTATTTAATTTTTAATATGACTTTTGGTATGTTTTAGCTATGTCTTAGCTATTTGTTATAGCTTATTGTTTTTTACTTTTACTTTTACTTTTACTTTTTTACTTTTGTACTTTTATCTCTCTCTATCATTCTTTTTTTTAATTAGTATTCTTTTTATTTTATTATTATCAATTTATTGCCTTACATATATTTCTTTTATTTCATTAATTTATGTTTTTATTTATTTTATCCTTATCTGCTCTGTTACTTAATTAAAGTTATTATGTTGTAATTTTAATCATCTATTGATTTAACAGTTTATTGGTACCTTCTTATTATTAAATTTTGCTTTTATGATTATTTAATTATAGCAATTGATTATTTTTTTTACTGTACAACTTCTCGATCCCTGATTCCTGTATTACTCAGCTATATTGTAGATGAGGGACTCCCTCAATGTATTCCAAGTTTAAATAAAGGCTGATTGATTGATTGATATTGTTTTGTAGACAGTTTATCTTGTTTCTCCCTGTGTTTTAGTATGTTTCAGTTGTTTTTGAATAAGCTCTCTTGCCATTTTCTGTTGTCCCTAGGGTGCAGCAACAGTGAAGGAGTTTTATGCTCGAAATTCTCGCTGGACCGAGGGGCTTATCTCTGCTGCCAAGGCAGTGGGCTGGGGGGCAACACAGATGGTGTATGTATTCCTGCCAAATTTGATTTGATTTTCTGGTACTACAGATTTTGTAATTTCATATATTATTACAAAACATTTTACAAATATTTTGTATTTTCTGGAGAGTTGTTAAATTGTTGCACTCTGCAGTAGAAGCATGGTGATTCATCCCCCCTCTCTCTCTTTGTCAGTGACTCTGCTGATAAAGTGGTGTTACACACGGGCAAGTATGAAGAGCTTATTGTCTGTTCCCATGAGATTGCTGCGAGCACTGCACAGCTGGTTGCGGCATCTAAGGTTTGGAGTTAACAGTGCCTTCTGTCTCTGAGATTTTTCTGCATTCAATCCATCCATCTTCTTTAAGGCAGTCAGTGTCAAGCCCTCAAGTCATGTAACTTTCTTATGGCTAAACAGAAGGGTGCACAACATTTGTGCTTTAATTTTTTTTTATTGATTTGTGAAGAAACTCTCCAGGCTTTTACCTCCTTTTCAATGCTGAATTAGACTTGCAATGTCTCACTTTTACCACTGTGGGTATTATACGCAGTGGGTAGCACTGTCGCCTAACAGCAAGAAGGGCCTGGGCTCGATTCCCGACTGGGCGACCAGGGTCCTTTCTGTGTTGAGTTTGCATGTTCTCCCCGTGTCTGTGTGGGTTTCCTCCAGGTTCTCCAGTTTCCTCCCAAAGTCCAAAGACATGCAATCCTGGCCAATTGGACACGCTAAATTGCCCCTAGGTGCGAGTGTTTGTGTGTGTCTGTGTGGATGTATATGTCCGTCTGTCTGCCTTGCGATGGACTGGCGACCTGTCCAGGGTGTATCCTGCCTTCCGCCCAATGACCACTGGAATAGGCTCCAGCACCCCCTGCGACTCAGAAAAATAAGCAGTTTAGAAAATGTGTGTGTGTGTGTGTGTGTGTGTGTGATCCAAATGTTGATTGAGATGGACAAATATATAGCATAAGTAAACCTTTCTTTACAGGTGAAGGCAGATCGTGGCAGTAAAAAGTTGTCCAGTCTTCAGCAAGCCTCTCGTCATGTGAATGAGATGGCTGCAAATGTGGTAGCCTCCACTAAGACAGGGCAGGAGCAAATTGAGGACAAAGGTAAAGTGAAAATAAAAGTGTACTGTGACAGCTTCAAAGCACATTAGAGGACTCCTATAAATGAATTTGTCAGTTACTCAAATTGTGTTGAAATGAATGATGGCGAACTAAGCATAAAATATAAAATATGCAAAAACTGTTAAACTGCTTATTGGTTTACATGAAAGGTTTGTTTAACAGTTGTAAGTTGAATATGTCACAAGTTAATGGCAACTCTTATTTGTACTTGTATATACAGACACGATGGACTTTTCTGGAATGTCTCTGATCAAGTTGAAGAAAGAGGAGATGGAGTCCCAGGTATATTGTTGTACATTTATTAGAATAAACTTAAGCAGGAATGGCATGTATGCAAAGATCTAATCTGAACAGCATTCATCACTTGATCACCCTTCCCTCAGGTGAAGGTCCTGGAGTTAGAGAACATGCTTGAAAATGAGCGCCTGCGTTTGGGAGAGCTGCGAAAAAAGCACTATGAGATAGCAGGAGTTCCTCTGGAACAGCTAAGCCAAGACAATGGGCTGCGTGCCCCTTCACCCTCTGCCCCCTCCTCTCCCAAACCACCTAAACCTGCGTTAATGAAGAAACCAGCGCTTGGTCAGAAACCCAACATTCCACCCAAAAACCTGGTAAAATGCCTACTGACTTGTGAATCTTTACCATTAAGAAGTGCTTTACTTCAATGTTCCTTGACATCCTTAGGTTCTGATGTATAATTCACTGACATGATCACATTTTCTAATTTGTAAGTGGTACACATTAACAGAAAAATTAGATAAATTAAATGAATGTAAACTGGGAATGACTCCTCGACAATATAAAGAGCAGCCTCCCTCAAGGCAGGGTGATAGTCTTTTCTTTTGTTTTTCATTTTGGTTTGTTGAGCCCAGCCTTTTGCTCAAATTTTCTTAGGATAAAAGTTAGGCTAAAGTTGAGTGAAACAAAGTGAAAGCTCTTAGAACAGGCAGCTGCTTGAGATTTCTTACTTGCAAAAGCTGTAGTCTGTTCAAGATGGGTTTGGTGTATGTCTTACAAGTTTTAAATGATTGATTCTTTTCTTCCAGTTCAGGTAAAAATATTGTGGATGAAGATCGTCGAACCTGGATCTCAGATTGATATTCATCCTGCTTTAAGCCAGGTTTAAATCATCTTAAGAAGCCCATCTCCTTGTCCCCTATGTGTGTGCCTAATTATCTTACATTCTACCATATTAAACAAATCATTATTATGCCTTGTTTATTAAGCGTTCCTCACAGAGGTAAGCTAGAAGCATTTTTAAAATCTGCACTATGGAGTAGTAATGCAGTAATCTGTAAGATCCCTTTATTATTCACAAAGATTTTGAATATAAAGAGCTCTCGGATATTAAACAAGAAGATTTTTAAACATTAATATATATCATCAAGATATTTAAATTGTTTAACAAAGTAAAGAACGTAATGGTGGATAAAGCTATTATTTGGGACAGTAATACAGCCTGAAAGTTTGATGTTACTGCTTTTTTATGTTTTGTTTATATTGGTGATTTAGGATTGGGGTGTGTAAAGTAGGCTGCATTTGTTTGGGTTCAGTATTTGACTTTACTAAAACTATTGTGTACAATTGAAATGATCATGAACTTAGTAATATTTTCTTTTTCTTTTTAATATTGAGATGATGAGACATGCTTATCCAAGAATAGTCTTCCATAAAATCTACATATTTTACCAAGAATTAATAATTGCAATATTCAAGATTACAAAATGCTTGTGTGTTTTATTAATCTGAGTCTCTGAGACTGCTCAGTTTAAGCTCTGTTTTGACACAAAGTAAGAAACTTAATGCTCATTAGACTTAAACTGAAAGAAGTTGGAGTTCATAGGAAATAGGGAGGTATTGATCAAGATCAATTACATATAATAAGACCAATATAATAGTTACAATATTTGATTGTTTGAAAAAAGTGGCAATCCGACTATGCTCCCGGTGTGACTACTACATATCTCTTCCACAATGAGAAATAGAAGAACATTATGTCTATGATAGTTTAAGCAGAGAAAGATGAAAGAAGAAAGATGGGTCAGACCTAGTATGATTTACATTACTAATTTTAAATAGAGTACAAACACAGGGTATTTTGTTTTGTGGTGTTGTTTTGTTTTAGTTTTTGGTCAGTGAGTCTTGCTACCCATGTTTCCAAGTTCTCTCAAAATCTATACTTCTCACTGTTTTTGTTTTTGTTTAATTATTGATTTACTAATGTTTAATCACATAGAGACACACTACGCTACATGAGCATTGTCTGTTTCAAGATTCAGTTAAAAAAACATCTCTTAAAAAGTGCCCGTTTTACCATTTAATGTCAGTTGATTTTGGTTTAGGGGCATGTCTAAGAAAATCTCATTATAAATTAGTCCATTTCTAGTTGGAGCAATGAAGAATTCTCTTTGGTCTTCAGTCTCAGGTTTTTAGGATTATTTTTATTAAATGTTACATAACATTATCACTGCTGTTTTCTAAGGTCAAAATGAGGATGTTACAATGGTGGTGGAGGAGAAAGCATATGTACTGACTACTACAAGTGATCTCTTACCATGGGGTGTTTTTGATTCTGTGAAAGAGTATCTTAAAATATTTTAACTTTTTATTTTCTTTCATTTTGTTTATCTAATCTTTATAAATCTTTACAAATCATTTAATATATCTTAGTTATGTTTGGTGGTCTCCCTGTACTAAACATTAAATTAATAATAAATATTTATAATGGAAACTTTTAATTGTCCATATTGATTAGTTTGTCTGAATGCCTTATTTATAAAGGAGTAAAGGATTGCAATGACTCTGATCTACTTATAATGGATTGTAGAGATGCAGGCTTAGTAAATTGAATGTTCTAGTTTGATATTTAACAGGTTGTTAAAGCAGACTTTCCAAGGTTGCCTGTAGTTTTATTTGTTTTTTTGTTTGATTTAAGAAAAGGCACAGTCTAGGCAATAGATGGAACTTATATGACAAGGTAGCCATCAGATTTAGTTGGTTTAGCTGGTTTGTCTGCTTCCTGGCCTCAACTGTACTTACAATTACGATTGTTACTACATACAAACTGTGTCAGTTTATGAAATAAGGGGGCACCTCCATCCCATGAAGTCTTAAATCCAAAACGTCCATTGCTTTTTACATAAAGAGGCTCCACTGCTGCTGTGCCTCCATTGGGCATGTCAGACCACAACCTGGTTAATCTCAACCCCACCTATAGCTCTGTAATTCACTTGCCACCTGTTACCCACAAGACTGTGAGGAAATTGACAGAGAAAGCTGTGGAGTATTTGCAGGATGGACTATAGAGGACAGACCGGGACTTCCTTTGTGCATCACCTGCAGACGACATAACAAACCATGAATGACCAAGGACCCACCTAACACCTCCATGTCCAGTTCTGTTGTGCCACCCTGGGGGGAATAGCACCTGCTGGATGCTACAGTACACTCTCTCAGTTCTGTACCACAGTTCTGGGAGGCTTCCTGCTTAGTTCTAGTTCTAAGGACAGCGCCCTTAAGGACTACAGACCTGTTGGACTCACTCAATACATCATAAAAAACTCCCATAGACTGGTATTTCAATCAGCTGCAGCTTGCACCTATGGTCCCTTCACTTCAGACAACGGACACACATAGGTGTGGATGATGCTATGATCTCTGAGCTCCACAGAGTAAACTCAAAACTGGACAAAGCCAGAGACACCGTCACAACAATGTTCTTTGCTTTCTCTAGTGCTGTTAACACCATCCTGCTTCCACTGGGAAACAAGCTCATGGTTTTGCTTGTTGATTCCCCTACAGTGGCCTGAATCATGGAACCAGACCAACAGGCCACAGTTTGTGAGGTTCCAGCGCTGTGTGTCGGAGATGGCGGTGAGCAGCACAATCCCAGGGAACTGTCCTCTTCACTCTAAACACATCAGAATTCTAGTGTAACTTATAGTACGACACCAGCTCACCAGCCAAACTACAAAAGTTCTCTGACTTCCATTGTACTGTGTATTCACACTGCAAATGAATCAGAGTACAGGAGACTGTTGGATAACTTCTTGTGGTGCAGGAAAAACCACCTGCTGCTTAACATCAGTAACACAAAAGTGATGGGTAGTTAAGGGGCCCAAGAAATCTGTGATCATCCAGCAGGATGTGGGGATCCACCTGAATGATGGTCTGGACTGAAATCACAGACAGAAAAGACAGAGTTGGCTCTCCTTCATATAGATGCTCAAGTCTTTTGATGTGTGCAGCTAACTACTGGAGTAATTGTTTCAATCTCTTGTGGCCAACATGCTTTTCTATGTTGTGGTCTGGGCAACTTCACTGTAGGAGATGCCAAGTGTGTCAGTAAACTGATCAGAAAAGCCAGTGCCATCACAGGACTGACTCTAGACTTATTGGAGGCAGTAACAGAGATCACAGAACAAAGCAAAATCTTCAGAGCATTTTAAACAGTTCCACTTATCTATTCCAGGAGCACCTTCCTTCATCTGCTCATTCCAGTAAGGTTTCAGGATACATTTTCAGGGCCCCACTTGTCACACAGTACTGAATATTAAGGTTTCAGTTGATGTCAGAGACATAGTCTCTGCAGTTCTTCATGTTTATGCACTGATGTCTTTGCACCAGTATGTGTAAACATTTGTAGTAATTTGTGTATTTATCATGTGCTGTATTCTTTTGCTATTGAAGCATCCAAACTCTTCAGGATCAATAAAGGACATATGTCTGGCTGTCTGTTTGTGTTCTTTAGTGAAGAAAATGGTTCTATATAGAACCATGTATAATCACATAACCCTTTGCATGATTAAAGGGTTCTTTGCACTGTGAAATAGTTCTTCAGATTGATGGAGAATCATTTGTACATGGTTCTATAAAGCACCAAAAATGGTTCTTCTATTGTTACGATGTCAACTTGTAACAATAGAAGAACACTTTTCGGTACTATATAAAACATTTTTAAAAAGGTTATATGTAGAAACCATCTAAAGCACATTCTCCATCAATCTGAAGAACGCTTTCATGATGGAAAAAAACTTTAATCATGCAAGGGGTTCTTTGAGTGTTCATGGTTTTATATAGAACTATTTCCTTAAAGAAACCTCAAAGAACCATCTTTTTAAAGTGCAAGTCAGCATACGTATTTTGTAAGACTTGTAAGACTTTGTAATTTTGGGGGTCACATAATATGCAGAAACACTGCTAGAACTCCGTATTGGGCATTCTGCCACATCTTGTACCTGCAGGGGCATCACAGCTAGGGAAATAGTGGAACAAACTATCCAGAGCCTGAGTGTAGGGGTTGGTGGAAAAGTTTCCTTTGGTGTACAGTTTTACGTTTTTAAGTAATTATCGAACATTTCTGAATATTGACAAAATAAATAGGTTGAGACTTAATTTTGCATCCATGAAAAAAATATTGAAGGCCCTCCCCTCAGTAGTCTTCACTCCCTTCTTCTGGGGCACAAATGGTAAAGTCGGCACTTTCACTGTATTTGAACGTAGATAATTGTGGTGACTGCTACTGATAGAAAAGCAGACGTGAAAAGCAAATGCAGGCTAATAGGGAGTGCAGTACTACATTCTTTTTCATACAGTCTGCTGTAATTAGTTTTGAAAAATTTTAAGAGATGGGATTGGGGCTCAGAAAGGCTTTTGCTTGTTTTATTATCGCATTACAACGCATTATTTAGGCTTTATAGAAATCCGTTACCCTTCGGAGCATAAGAAGGAAATACTTAACGCTCATAGTACCTTCAAGAATTTATGCTCATGAGGAAATGGGTAGATTGTTTATGGAGAGTCAGAGTACTGCTTTAAATAGATTCGCACAGACTGAAAATGTTGATGCCACAGTTTGAGCACAGCCACGATCAGCACCATAACTTCGGCATGCGCACTGCCTTTCGACCAAAGATATCAAATGTCTTTAGCCCTTGTGGCTAAACCACAATTTGGAAATGGCTATTTATGGACACGTGGAACAGAATGTATTAGTAGCTGAGTAACTTGGCTGTTTATTGAGATTTGATCTACGATAAACATTAAAGAACTTCCCGAAACGTGCTTTTAATGGATAAATTGGGAAGCGTCCTGGAGAAGAACCCTGCAGAGCTGACCGCTCTGGCTGTGTATGATATATATCCGCAGTGCTGGGCCAGGAATTCGAACATATTGTCGACCAGTATGGATGCGAGTCATTAACTCGCCTAATGCCTAAAGTCGCAAGGATACTGGAAATATTGGAGGTTCTGGTCAGTCGGAATTACAAAAGCGCAGAGAACGACGAATTGGAAATGGAATTGCATAACTTGCGGCTCGAACGGAGAGATCGCATGGAGAAAGAGAAAATACGTGAAAAGGTTGCGGAGTTTTGCTGCTTTTCTGGCTTCAAATAACTGTGGGTTACAGGTTTTGTTGCATGTCTGAGGCTTTAAATCACCACATTGCAAGACTGGCTGCAATAAATAACTAACCTCAGTAGGAGTCGCTAGAGTTTACAACTAAAAATCTGTACTGCTAGTACTGCGTAGTACTGCTTTCCCAATAATAGCAGTTTGGTTACTAATCTACCTTTTCAGAATGGATGAGAATGTTTTGGGTTTTTTTTTTTCAGAACTTGCACGGAATAGAGTTGATTAGTGCACTGCAATTTTTCCTTTAAACATGCCTGCGACCACACGATGCTGCCAAATACGCTAGCCAATATCATGAACTCCAGACTCCAACTTCTAACAATTAGGAGTTAACAGCTTAAGTGTGGCACATACACTGGTAATTGTTATTGTACTTGTGAATTAATACTGTAAAGCCTTGACTATATTGTTACAACGTCCACGCCGCTATTTCCTTCTGCTAAAACTGAGAAAAGAAGGCAGAAAGATGTTTTGTAAGGGACAGTTGTATTAGTGATGCAGTATTTTTACTGTATAACAAACATATGGATTAGACTTCTTGGGTCTATCAAATCAACGCTGTCATGAATTACAATATATAACATACATGTATAAAAAAACGAAATGATACGTTAATGACAATTATAAGTTTGGCAATACCATCTCAGTGGAACATTTATATTTGATATTGGAGTGTGCAATATCATGATAAAATTTTGTCAACGTGATAAACTTTTGCTTTTCTGAGGATATCGTGGATATCGTGCATACTTAATGAACACTGACCTAATACATGCTTCATTACAAAGAGAGGAAAATTAAGCCTGTTTAATTTGATCTAGCACAGTACAGTATGTGAAACGAGTAAAAATCATTGTACTCAGAGTTTTGATGGCTTTTTTAATGTGGCACTTCTAGTCCATTGTGTCTGTGTGTCAAAATATCATGATATGTATCGTACATTGTGAAAGTGTCTTTAAATGTTGTGATATGATATTTTGCTGTATACTTTTGCCCACCCCATTTGATTATTATTTTTGATATATTTATTAAAGGAGAGTGCTGATACAGTTGTGCTGCAGTTATGATACTGAAACACACACACAATTTCACTTTGTTCTACGGAACACAGTAATCTGTGTGTCTTTCCCTCTGGATCTTTGGTAACTTGATCATAATTCTTTAAAATTCTTCCCTTTCTCCTCATTTTGAATGCTTACCAATGTCAATAGATGGGTGTGCATCAGTGAGTACTCCTCACAGTAATATAATACACTTGCTCCATGTATCATATCACTAATTATAAAACAGTGATATTCTTTAATTGCTGTAAAAGGTAAATGCTATTGTGCTTACTTGTTGTCTGGTATATTGTACCAAAAGCAGCTCTGAGTATTTTCTGTTTGCACATAAAAATACAAAATAGTAGTAAAACATTTTACATACAAAATATTTCCCTAAGTCTTCAATTACAAAATTCATAGTCTCGTGTTTAGGTTTAATGTAAAACAAGTAATACTGCTTGCATGGTAATAGGGTGCTTGTGAACATCACTGTCTTTATATCTGTGTTTGAATTTAAATGCTAGGTGTTTCTGCCTGTGTCAGGAGCTTGAACAGGTAGAAGACATATGGAGGAGAGAGAATCAGGACTTACTGTCACAGATTGCTGACCTATATATAATTTTGCTGTCCAGAACAAGTCACTGAGATTGAGGCTGTCTCTCAAAGAACAGCAGCACACTGAGGAGAATCTTCAGCAAAATTAAGGTATCAGACTAAGGGATATACACATCATAACATTTTCGTACTAAGGTCAAAAATACATTTTGTGTGAATTATTGCAGTTTATCCATTTCACTCATCATTGCCTCTGATACAAAGAGAATCCAGTTTGATAAGATATTATTGTTCTCAGACTGTTCTATTACTGTTGTATTGCATGCAGTGATAACAACAACAACAACAGTAAAAAAACAAATAAAATAATAATAATAATAATAATAATAATAATAGTAATAATAATAAGGATATTCTTTATATAGCACTTTCATACTGGTGGCAGCTCAAAGTGCTTTACAGACAAATGATAAAGCTTAACAGCAATACTAGAAATTATGAGTATTAATTTAAAATCATCTAAGAAAATGCCAAAGATTGAATTAAAAATGTAAATACCAAGAGACAAAGGGTTTTAATTAAACATTAAGTTAAAGAGATACATTTTAAACAAGCTTCTAAATATGAAATATAAAGTCTTTGTATTATTTTAAATCCAAATGGCTGGAGTGCAGGGCTAAAGAACAAAAGTACAGAAGACAACAAAATTGATTAATTAATTGTACATTAATTTTAATATTAATTAATAACATCTCATCAATATGTTTTGTGGGTCACTATTTTTCTGCCTATATCAAGATTAAAACCACTTTGAGATCAAATGTCTTACATGAAATATGTTTTATTACTGTAATATATTGTGCATGCTATGACTAGTGAAATGTAATTAGGTGCTATTTTAGAGCATGACATAAATACTGTTTGGAGTCTTCGAGCATACTGTATATTTAGTTGCAATCATGGAACACTATCTTTCCTGTCTTTCTCACACACAAACACTTCAAAGGCTGTCACATTTGGGGTATTGATAAAACATTACAGTGTGCTATATTATAGATGGCACTAGTAGGCTGCCATGCCTATACAGAACCATACCCGAATGTTTGTATGAATTTGTGAAACTTAATTTTTTAATGTACAAAAATGAATTTTGTTGTTGAAATTTGCAAAGTTAAGTGACTCATGCTTTAATATCTTTGGACAGGGAAAAAGCTGAAGGAGATGGTTGACCAGCAACGAGAAGAGATAAAGGCCAAAGACTGTGAAATTACACTGAAAAATAATGACACTGAAATAGTGAGGTCATACGGTCATACTTTATCCTATATGCACAGCCTACCATGCATCGCTGAATGAAAAATTCCTTGGTATACTATGGCCAAGAAACATCAAAACACTATTTAATTTAAGTTGAAGTTCAAAATAATTACTGTTCATTCTACATGTGAACACAACTAGTACCTAAACAAATACCTTTGTTTTCACAAATACATTTGTTCAGATTTATCAAAATGTGTTTAAAGTCATTTTGCTCCCCATTTGTCATTTTGTCCTATGAAATGGCAGTTTAAATTAAATGAATTACTAAAAAAGACCTCTATCTAAAGGGACAAAATGCATGTCAGGTATAATGGAGTGAGACGTATTTTAAATTATATTTATGTGAATGTAGAAAAAAAGAATGACGTTGACACAATGTTGTGTACTTCCATT